TGCATATGTATGTATGTGACGTACAACGTCTTGTCATCAATCCATTGTGAAAGTAACGCATCGTATTTACTTTCGCATTGAAATTTCATTTCATTGCTTTCGTATACTTTATACACACACCTTTCTATTTCCATTCATTTGCCATAATATTATTAGCCTTCACTCTTCACTCCTGCTACCAATCGAGAGGTAACCATTTTTGCAGCTAAGAGAATTGCAATAATAACATTTTTAAGATTTCTGTTCATGTCGCTAAACATTTTTGAAATATTCAAGAATTCTCTGCTTAACTACATAGCTCCATACATAACTCCATACTTACTTATAAGTGCATTTATTGGTTAATACTGTTCAGATAAAAATTCGTATTTTATCGCAAACATTTTCGCTTTTCTTGCTTACCTATGGCTTCCTCTGCTCTACGCTAAAGTTTAGTAAATTTCATGTGAACGATTTTATGATATTTTTTATACCCTACACCAGTTGCAGTACAGGGTATGCTATGTTTGCGCGGACGTAACAGGCAGAAAAGGCTTAAGATGGACCCATCTCTTATCCGAAGCACTTTTTGGATCGATCTAAGCTTGTCCGTCCGTCTGATGCCTGTACATGTAAATTTGTGTTCAAGCTACAGGTCACAAATTTTTCGAATATCTTGATGGAATTTGGTACACGTACTTTGGCCCAAGGATTAGCGCTATTGAAAATGATTTGAATGGGTATACTTTTTCGTCTATTCTGCCCCGTCTAATGCCTTATTTTGAAAAATAATTATATGGAGAAAAATTGTAATATTCAAAGTTTCTCGACAAAATTTGCTCTGCAACAGCATTTGGTTATTCTAAATTGGTATGAAAAATTTGACTTGACTTGGGCAATATTTTGGACTCTCTCTCTCTCTCATATAACTGTTCCTACGAAAATTGAATCTTTATACAGTAAAAAGTTATAATTTTTAATATTTCATTATGAAAATTAGTTCAGAATTGTAAATTAACATAGAAATAAACCCCACCGAATTTGGACCACGACGGTCTATGTTTTGCAGAACACCGCATATAAGCTTTTCATGAGAAGTACGCCTTTTTATGAAAACAATGTATAACTTTGGGTGCATTATTATCAAAAAGAGTGAAGTGATGTAGGATGTCTAATAGTTGGCGTTGCCCTTCTTGTTTTTTTTTTTTTTTCTATTTATTATTGCTTCATACTAATGAACAAACTATTTTTACAAACATTTTCTATTTATTATTGAGTAATGTTCGTTAATTCGATTTTCTATTAAAAGTTGTCCCACAGTTATTGTGGGATAAGAACTTTTATACGGGCTTCTGAGATAGATTCTGCTTTTATTATAACAATCATGCTTTCTTTGTCAACCTAAAAGATTTTTTAATAAATTTTGATTTATGTGTACATTTTGACATAACAAAGAACTCTATACAGAATCGAGTGGATTGGACTGAATCACGTTTACAATCATTCCCTAAGAAAAAAGATCGGTGAAATATAATATAGAGTCAGTCATTTTCCACAGTGCAATACATCCGGAGACTATCTCTGTTTTCAAAAAGAAACAAAAATTTTTTTTTGCTTTTGGTTGGCCTTGCAGGCGCTGTACAAAAATTAAAGAAATCGGCCACGCCTATGCAAGGCTATAAATGATCACATTTTCACTTTTCCACTTTTTTACGCTTTTCCGCTAATCACTCATAAAGTGAACAAGACAGAATGTTGAAAATTCTGCTCTATATTCCTTCCATGAGGATACGTTAGGTGTTTGCAAAAATGTTGATCACTTTTTCACTTGAAAAAGGCATTCATTGTGGAAAACTGATACAATATATACAATACAACCAAAATCAGTTTCCAACATTTTCTAAAACATTTTACAATATTGTTGGCAAGATGGCGATATCATGTCGAAAGAACATATATTGGCTTGGGAACAATACACCCAGCGACCCATTTTCGCAGTTATTCAATTTAGCGGACCCGCGTGCCAGCCAAGCCATGCTGCATCGATCTGAACAAGCGCTATTCAGGAGGTGCCATGTCTGGTGAGTACGGTGGGAGAGGCAGACTTACCCATTCGAGCTTCATCAGCTCGGGCAAATCTTACAGCAAGTGGTCAAAAAAACGGACAATGTATATAATAATTATAATAGAGCAGCATCACCATAAGCTTCTGTACGTCTTTGGTGGGCTTCAGCAGCAGATTTCTGCAAATAAACAACAAAAGTAATGAAGAAGAAGTATTTTGAGCGCTCCATGATTAGCGACGGCGTACGCTGAATAAATCAATAATAGTAAATAGAAAATTATTTTATGTAGAGGAAGGTCAAAATTATCGATTTCAACCGTTATGTACACTGGTGTTTCCCATTTTTTTATCTCTTTTACTTGCTTGTAGTAGTCGCTGATCATAATTTTTGCAATTACCTAATATTAATAATTAACTAATTTAATCTAAAACTAAAATTATTCTAATGTGAGTAGAGTGGACCCCACAACATTGGGGATTGATATTGTCTTAGCAGTGTAATCAATTGGGTATAAAATAGAAGGACTTGTAGAGTAGAATGCGACAAGCTAAATGTGTTCATTCTAAATTAAATAAAAAAAAAATGGTGGACATGACCACGTGGTGGATTAAAATTTTCTTTGCAATCCCTTCAACATGGAAATGAAATAATAGGGCTTGTAGAATACATATATAAAGAGTATCGGAATTTTGCTTTTTCTTTTTTAGTCTTTAGTCTTTATGTAATTTTCTTGTTGTTTTTATTTTTGGCTTAAATAAAGCTTTAAATGCTTAAGAATAATGTGAAAAGAACATTGTCAACCGGAGACTTCTTCAAATTAATATCCGAATGCCCGAATGGTACGACTTTTAGCACACACAATGTGATAATTGGTACTTAAGTGCTTCGATACTGTTTCGTAGGGTATTTATAAACTATATTTATTCAATGATATATCAAATCTGAACGGCACTTTCCATGCTACCCGTAAAAGAAATTTCAAGTTATTAAAAGTGGCAACTCTATCACAGGTATTTCAAAAATTGAATGAAAAGCCAAGAGGCTTTGCAATCAGAAAATGTGATCACTTGAAGGGAGGTGATTAACTGGAAGCGATTAAATCGTACAAAATTCAACACTCGGCCAAGAAAATTGATTTCAATTCTAAATTTAAATCTCCAGAGATATCTATAAAGTAGATTTGGTTCCAAAAATCAATGATACTGTCATCGTGTTCTCACTTGCTTGGTAGGTAACAAACGGTCTTCATGTTATGGTTATCTGGTTGTTTACTACTACAAGTAACCTCTAAAATTCTGTTTTACTCATTATATTTTTTGATGTCGTTTGCCTCCAGTCTTGAGTGTCATTTTTGATATGCGTGCTTGTGGAAACGTTCACTGCCGATGCTCTTTAATATATCGATCCATTTTCGCTCATCCTCGAACTATTATTAGAAGCCGATCTGTTTAATATGGCTACTCTGAGCTGAGCCAATGCCAATCGGAAGCTATCAAGTCTAGAGAATAATCAATTCAACAATCAATTGAAGATCACTGCCTGAATTGCTTTTCCTGAAGACCTACAGGCGTGTCGGAGCGTTCATTGTCTTGAAGATTGAAATTTTTTATACGAAATTATCGCGTAAACCACTTTCCCAAGTTTCCCAACTTATTATTGCATTTTCACTCATAAGGCAATTTAATCATTCTTGTATACTTTAACATGCACTGAACGATGGCTGACAATTGAACCCTGAATCTTATAGTGTGCAACCATCAATGTCAAGGTTATTTGTACTTAAAATTTCGAAAGTAATGGAAGTGATCGATGGCTCTTTTTTTTTTTAGAGAATCCCAATTCTTTCAGCGCAGACAACTTCTTTGAATATCTATTACAAATGCAAAGTGATAAACAAATCAAATAAATTCTGCTCAATGTAAGAAGGAAGGTAAACTTTACATATATTCAGTGCTAATATGAAAAATAATCGAGTAATCGCTGGAAATGTTTATAACAACAATCTTCCAAATTATGACTTAAGATGTGATGAGAAGAAATCAATTGAATCAATTGAATTATTAATTAATTACGTCAGCCCTTGAAGAGATAGACAAGCAGGCGAGGCACATGTAATGTTATTCGCTATTCTCAAGATTCTCAAGTATTGAAATAATATTGAATTATGAAATGATTGAATGAATGATTGGATTTTTCATGATCAAACTGCAATTGATTGGAGAATAACATGTGTTCGTCAAAACTCTTCCATTCTTCTTGCGTTCTTCTTCTTTTCTCACGTTAAGAAAGCAATCTTTTTTTTATTTATTTTTTGGTTTTCGCTAAAGTGGTTATTGTTTATCAAATTAACAGTTTGTGTGTTTATGAATAAATATAGGAGTACGTCTTCATAAATGCATTCATGTAATAGTGAAAGATTTAAATAAAATTTCTTTCCTTGATGGATATGTGAGAACTGATTCAGTCTGATTCAATTGCAGGGAATTGTTAGATGGGATGAGTTATATATATACATAGTAAAAGGTCTTCTTCTTAATTGTAGGAAAAGATGCAAAAAAATCATAAAATATTTAAATACATAAACAACTTGACGGTATTGATTGTGTGATAGAAATGTATACACATACAGAGAGAGAGCGAGAGAGAGATAGAGAGCACAAAACTTAAGTAATTAGCTGAACTTTCCTAATTAAATAAATAAAACAAACCAACAGTAACAATAAAAGCAACAACGTTTATGCACTCAACTGTCAAATAAAAAGTTTTGCTATAAACATATAATTGTTCAAGTGCCTAGCAAGGCTAGCTTTATATATATATATATATATATATATATATATGTAGTTAGCGATGTCAGTGATGAGATAATCATTGCGTTTTTTTTTGTTTTTATAGTTTTTCAACCATAATATGTGAAGTTTTATGTTAATTTGCGTCATGTATCTATTACTGCAGGCAAACAGAAAATCTATTGCGCGAAATGCGACAAGAAATGCTCGGGCGAGGTGCTACGTGTGGCGGATAAACATTTTCACAAGGCTTGTTTTCAATGCTGCCAGTGCAAGAAATCATTAGCCACAGGTGGTTTCTTTACGAAAAATGGTGCTTATTATTGTATACCTGACTATCAGCGCATGTACGGTACTAAATGTGCCGCCTGTCAACACTATGTAGAGGGCGAGGTCGTATCTACAATGGGGAAAACCTATCATCAAAAATGTTTTACATGTTCCAAATGTAAACAACCATTTAAATCGGGTAGTAAGGTTAATAACAACAAACACACGCACACACAACAGCAAGCGAAAAAAAAAGTTGCCTTTCTTATTATTACTCTTTTACGCCCATATAGGTTACAAATACCGGAAAAGAAGTGCTATGTGAAAGTTGCGTAGCCGGTAATAGTGTGGCGAGGATGTCATCGCCTACGCAGCAACAGCAACAACAACAACAGCATCAGCATCAGCAACAACATGATTCTACATCACCGCCGCCAACTGCCGAGTCGCCAACTAGGGCTACCGCTCATCAACAGATGACAAGCGGTATACTGTCAGATAAGGCCCATCTGAAAGACGATTATGATCCAAATGATTGCGCTGGATGCGGTGAAATGTTGAAAGAAGGACAAGCTTTGGTGGCCCTAGATCGCCAATGGCACGTTTGGTGTTTTCGTTGTAAAGCTTGCACTACTGTACTCAATGGCGAGTACATGGGCAAGGATGGTGTACCTTATTGCGAGAAATGCTATCAAAAATCGTTCGGTGTCAAGTGTGCATACTGCAATCGCTTTATAAGCGGTAAAGTGTTACAGGCGGGCGACAATCATCATTTCCATCCGACCTGTGCTCGTTGCACAAAATGTGGCGACCCTTTCGGTGACGGGGAGGAAATGTATTTGCAGGGCAGTGCTATATGGCATCCACGATGCGGTCCAGGCCCGTCTTCCGAGTCAGGCCTTATCTTGAATGGCGGTCCAGCGGGTGTAGGTGTATCAAACGGCAATTTCACCGATACTGAATGTGATCGTATTAGTTCGAGTGCTTTAAGTGATATGGTAAGTAAATTGAGGGTGCCTCCTGAGAACACAAACACACCAGTGTTTTTCAGGTTTTTAGGTACTACCGCGGCCAGGTTTTTCTGTTTTGTAACATAATCCAGCACCCTATCAAACGCCAGCTGCGGCTGCATAAAGCAAAATAAAGAAGAACACCACCAAACCACACCCTATTATTTTATATAAAAAAAAAAAAAAACTAACTAATCTCCCGTTAAGTGGGCATGACAACTGCTTCCCCACTAAACATTAATATCGTTGAATAAGCCACGCAATCAATCACACGGTCATCATTATCACCGTCAATGCCATCATATTTTTATATATATTTCAATCACCACAATTCAACTAATATCGATTCTGCTGTTATTTAAATCTATATATCTCACCATTTACTCTCTCTCTCTCTCTCTCACTCAAATCTTCTTAACGTGCATTTCCATTAATTTTGTTTTTTCGTTTTTTTTAATTTTTCACCATATTTCTGAGCTTGCAAGTTTTCTTTTTTCGTTTTTTTTTTTCTTTATTGTTTACAGTACATACGCTCCCGTACGCCGAGTTTTAATGGTTCCATATACTCCTCTAGCCGCAAGGTTTGTTTTAATTTAATTTCTTTTAATTTTTGATTTTCTATTTAAACAATTTTTATTACGACAAAAAAAAAAAAAAAAAAAAATGTATATAAAAAAAAAGAAAAAAAAAATTTTTATGCTTTTATTTGCATTGTGCTATGTAATGCTCACTCACTATACTAATAATAACGAGTTACGGATAAAAAAAAAAAAAAAAAAATCGCACCAACAAGTATCAAAAATACATTTCATTCAAATGCATACACACGTACATACGTACCTATATACATATATTAAAAAAACAATGTAGAAAAATTTATAATAACATAAATTAAATTGAAATCAGTTGAAGTAAGTCGACTTTGATTCACTTTTACAGCACTATCGTACTGTTAGTCCTGGCTTAATACTGCGTGAATACGGTCGTCATGGTGGTGAAGATATTTCACGCATTTATACCTACAGCTATTTAACCGACGCACCACATTATTTGCGTAAACCTATTGATCCCTATGACAAGACGCCTTTGTCACCGCATTTTCATAGACCATCTTCATATGCAACAAGCACAGCCGGATCTGTGGTTGGTAGTAGGCCGTCCTCCAGACCTAGTTCACGTACGCGTAGCGCTATGAAAGTACTAGTTGACGCCATACGCAGCGAGACTCCACGCCCTAAAAGTCCTGCCATGAACAACGAGGAACCAATTGAATTGTCGCACTATCCGGCCGCAAAAAAACCGCCACCTGGCGAAAAGCCAAAAATCGAACGTGACGATTTTCCTGCACCGCCATATCCGTATACTGATCCCGAGCGACGAAGACGTTACAGTGACTCGTATAAAGGTGTAGCAGCCTCCGATGATGAAGATGATCCACAAACCAAAAATGGCATAATTGACTCGTAATTAATTCATTCATAAAAAATTATTATACTTATAACTTGTTTTTTTTTATTTACTATATATAGACGCCTGCAGCGCGAGGCTGAAGAATTAGAAAAACTAAATAGCGGCATTGGTTCGGTTATAGCTAGAGATTTGAAGGAAACAGCAAAATATCGCAAATGGAAACAACAGAATTTAGATCCGAGAAATGCATCACGTACCCCGTCGGCTTCCAAAGAACCCCTAAATAAATTAAGGTCTGCTCTATCTACGAATTTAAAAAAATGCTAAAAGTGAACAAGCATTACTAACTATGAAAAATAATAATTACAGATATGAGTCGCCCTTGGGCGCATCACCATCACGCAATTTGGATCATCAAAGACCTTTCTATGAAGAAGAAATTTTCGATCGCTCAACCAGCTATAGAGGCTCTTTAGGCAAATCCTTGGGTACTGCCCCCAGTTATAACGGTATGTAAAAATTTATTCATTTTCTTCTAGCATTAAATGAAATTAAGAAAAAAAACACTTCAGAAATAAAAAAAACGTAAACAAAAAAAAAAAAATAAAACAATTGAAAAAAAAATGAAAACAGTAAAAACTACAAAAACTAGAAAATTTGAACAAATAGTCGTTCGACATACTCTTCTGTTCCCTTCTTTAAACAACGTCTGTGCCTACCTGACTCTACTCTACCTGCGAAAGGAATTTGTATTGGTTTTTTTTTTTCCTTAATTTATTTATGTATTAATTTTTCTTTGGATTTTGGGTTTTTTTATTTTATTGTTATGTTTTCTTTTTCCAATATATTTTTACATCTATATATTAGGTATGGTGGTCAATAATGCGGAATATTGCAAAACACAAAGAAAAAAAAAAAAAAAAAAAACAACATTTCAAAAGATAAAGTCTTTTAAGTCTTTCAGAATATTTCTCTATATATGTCTGTCCGTCTGTTCGACATTTTATAAGTTGGAAAACTGAAAATCGATACTGGCCATATGGGGCATATATGTCAATGCAGTTCAACTGCAATTAATCGCATTATTAACCATCGTACTTCGTATGTGGACTTTTCGTTTGTTGTGTTCCGTGACTTTGTTTTGAAATCGTTGATTTTCTTCTTTTTGGGGTTTTTATTTTATGTATAATAAATGACTTATTGAATATCAAATCGAATCTCAAACCAAACCAAATCAAACAACAATCAAACACAGCTATACATTCCTATCGATCGCCACCAAAGCCTGGATATGGATTTAAAACCTCAACCCTGCCGCCGTATATACGCAATGGCTATGGCTACAGTTCAGTAAGTTCGCATTTGCCAAAAATACCAAAAAAAAAATACAAAAAAAAAAAAAGAAAAAACAGAACAAAATGGAGGGATACATAATTGCTTCTTCCTTTCAATGCATTCATTTCAATAATAACGCAAATAACAATTACAATTTCTTTCCGTTTCTTCTTCTTCTTGTCACCATGACTTCTAACCTTCTGTTTGCGGTTTAGCTAAAACGATCAAATTGTTTAAGATTTCTTTGTTAGAAATTGAAACTTGATTGCATTTTCGTTTGTTGATAATAATTATGTATTTGTGTGTATGCGTGTATTGCTAACTAAATCATTTGAAATTTAATCATACAGCCAACGGTTTTGTGAAGGGAAACACATAACAGTAAAAATAGTTCCCATAAATAAATAAATAGTTAATGACTGCTAAATGGTGTAACTGTGTGCCGCGATTGTTTGCTTCCCATCATTCATCATTCATCATCATTACCACCATTATCTCATTATCATAATATTTAGATCTACTTTCACATACTCTTCTTTGTCTTCTTTTTCTCCTTTTTGAAAAATGCCCGCTTGTGGAAATCACCATTAATTGCTAACTGAAAACCTTTGAAAACATCTGCGCTCCATTAATGGAATGGGTTTTGGTTATGGTTGTGATTCTCTCTCTCTCTCTCTCTCTCTCTCTCTCTGTCTCTGTCTCTCTCTCTCCGCGATGTATCAACGCTTTTAACAATCGTCCATTAAAATGTGTATATGTGTACAAATATGCAACTTGACGGTTTTGCGGTGATTAACCTTTATTTTCTTAATACGACCACATATATATATATATATCTATTTACATATATTATTCTTCCAAAATTATTAAACAAAAAAAAAATCTTTTTTCGCTTCAATTAATTTTAATGCAAATCAACCAACACATCAAACTATGTTTTATTGAATAATACAACAACAATCACAATAATAACAACAACATTACCCATTGTGAACATAACAAATTTTTGTCGTTTCATTTGGATGAAAAAACGTAAACATAACATAACGTCACCATGAACACCGTGAATAATAAAACTTTTATACTCATCTTCTTCATATACATTTATCACCATTTGCGAAAAAAAAAAAAAAAATGTGATCATCAACACCATCATAATCAATTTCAACTTTATTATCATCATTACCAACAAAAAAAAAAAAAAAACAACGATAACAACGACAACATTATATATCTATCATATTACAAATCTTCATAAAACAAACAACTTCATCTTATAACATAACAACTCCTCCAACGCATGCTAATTACTTTTGTAATTTTTGTATGTGTACGTGATTATGTGTTTGCAATGTGCTTGGCCGCCCACATCTTTTTTTTTTTTTTTTTTATGTAGTGGTGAGCTCTCTGCGTTATGTCCCCAAACCCGGATACGGCTTAGCTCCACGTTCCCACACTTTCAGTTCAACCGCATCGGCAGGCGCCTTCATGCACGGCGTCACCGTAAGCGTTTTCAATGTTTTGCTTCTTTTTTTTTTCTCTCTCTCTTTATATATGTAAAAGCAATATTTTATTTACGCTATTTTTAACCGTTTGACATAGATTACATGCACATATGTATATATATATATATATATATATATATATATATATTAAAAAACAGAAGACTATGTAACGCTTCTTATTTATTATAAGAATGTGTTTATGCCCTACATCAGGCAGGATACAGTCTTGACAGCAGGCATTAACATAGGGTTACATTATGTCGCTCCGATCACTCTTGAAATATATTTATTAACTGCTTGAGTCAATTGGTTAGCGATTGTTGCATTTCTAAAAGGAAACTTGCATTGTTTGTAATTTTGTAAATATTTGCAAACGTTATTGGAACAAGAACAATAAAAGACTTTGTTTAATTCTCGAGATGACTTCACATTTTTCTATCTTGTTGTTGAAAAGAAATTTACTGACAACGCCTGCAGGAAACTAAGACAAGAGGAAATCCAAATTTTGATAAATCATGGTTGAGAACTTCCTTTTTCATATTAAACACCCTACAAGAAGATAACTGAAGGTATCTATATATTGAAAGTAAGGCGTTCTATGAGAAATGGTCGAAAAAGTGATTCGATCTAAACCATTTTCAATAGCGCTAGTCTTTGATCCAAACTGCGGCTTATAGGTTGAACAAACGAGAACAAGATAGACGGACGTGCTGGCAAGTTTAGATTGAATCAGAATCGATTGGTATAATCAAAGGTGGTTGGGAAGAACTCAAGGGCGTCTGGATGTTGCGCACATCCGCACAAATCTAATATACTCTTGTACCACAAATGGTGGTAGGTGTAATAATGGTGTAACGAATACATTATAACTTATAGAAAATACAAAAATTTTCAAAATTACATTAATTAATATTACTAACTGGACAAAAAAAAAAAAAAAATAAATAAATAAATAAATATAAACTAATAGTAACCAAATGAAAACTTTACACATTAAATGAAAAGAAAAAAATTATTTCAAATTATTAATACACTAATTAATTGATAAAAAAAATACTTGACAGTTAACAATAACTAACTAAATAATGCACATAATAATTTAAGCGAACGCTACTTAAAGTATATTATTAAATAATAATAAAAAATATTTTAAATTAATCTCAATTAATTAATTAAATTAATATGTTACTAATAAATAAAATAAAATAAAATTTGCAATTACACTAAACCAATATATTACTAATTAAATGATGAAAAAATATTTTAAAGTAATAAAAAAATTAAATGCATGAATTATTAATTAAATGACGTAAAAATATTTTCAACTAATCTTAATTAAAAAAATGCTACATTATTATTAATTAAATTTGAAAAAAATATATATATACATATATACTCTAAGGTAACAGTTATTGAACTAATACTTTATTAATAAAGTAAAATAAAGAAGTTTTAAACCAATAATAATAACTAAATGCAAACACATGTAAGCATATACAAATAAATTCCTTCTAAATTTTGATAAAATTTAATTATAATTAAAACATTCTTGTCAACAAGTTTAGTAATCAAAATACGCACCATCGTTATCTACGGGTTTTTATTATTCATTGAATAGCTTATGTACATCCACGCGATCGACACTTACAAGTTTGAAGGCGAAATAACCGTCGACTCATTTTCATACCTACTGACCTGCTAAATATGAGTGCATCGATCTGGTATCGTGAGGCGTGGAGAATACCGCGAGCCATGGCAAAGCTTCCTACCCCAAGTTGAATATCACTTTGTGGATAGTTTTTGCTGGAGACGTACGGACATATTTCAAATTTCATCGTTTTCAAGACTATAACTTTTTGCCCGAAATCTCACAAACGTCTATTTATTGTTTTTGTAGCTTATTACAGTTGCATTCCAAGCCAACTAAGCCAATCTTATTCGTAAGCTTAGCTGTACTTTTTTTCGAGATTAATCCAGTTAGAAATACAGAAAATTGTAAATGACATAATATGACGTCTATTTCCTTAAACTTTGGCATACATGGAACGGCAACTGAAACTTACGTCGTTCCAATATCAATACCTAAGCTATCTGTACCTGAAATTTCGGGAAAATCGAACGCGCCAGATCCGTTTTGTGAAGTAATCAATTTTAGCGGGAGGAATTTATTTGTACACATAATAATTATATATATATCAATAAATGATAAAAAATATTTTAAACGACGAATAATTGAATAATAATAACATTATTAATTATATAATATAAAAAAAAAAGAAATTTGAAATTGAATCAAATATTTCTTCAATGGCATTGGAACAATTAACAATTGATATAAATGAATTAAAAAGCTTTGAATTTTACTCCACATTTCACTGCAGATACACTTGCGTAGGGGAAAAGGAGCGAGATTTTATTTCAATCAATATATATGTCAGACGTAGTAGTTCATACAAATGAAACAAAGCGAAAAGGTTCGAGCGTTGAATTATCGTAAATTAAGCCTTATAGACGATAGGACAATAGGACGGACAATATAGAAATAAGAAGAGATATAATAGAATATTCAAGAAACTGAAATCGTAACAATGTATATCGCGCTTCACAAGAGTTAGATGACTGTAAGCGTTTAAAAATTTCCCAAGGTTTTCCAATATGATTGGAAGAATATTAAATGCGATATGGTGTAGGGCATTAAATGGTTGGATTTCGACCGACCATGTATTACTATTTAGATTATTTTAAAATCTATCTTTCATTATCAGTTCAATTTTATTTGCCTTCACACTCGAATTTTTGATCTGTGACATGGTAAAAATTTGTGTGCATCTGTGTGTTTTGCATTTAATTTTGCTTGCATGTACAGTTTCAATTTCATACCATTTTAAATTCATTAAAATCCTATTTTTGATATAACATATACACGCATTTAAAGATTTACTTTGAATATTAGACTTTTTTGGTTTTATTTTTTTCATTTTTAAAAAATTATTTTTTTTTTTAAATCACACCAATGGAATATAGCTTAGGCCATGTAAGGGTTACTTTTATGGATAGTTGGCGTAAAAGCAGACCATCTAATACTAAGATCGTTTCTTGGTCCGAAAGATTTTACCAATATACCAAACATTGTAAGAATTGCAACTTGTGCGTTCTACACGAAAATTCCTGGACAGACGGATACGCAGTTTTAAATAAATTTATAAAACTAAAACTATAATAAAAAGAGGGGCCTGTCTAGTCCTCACAAGTGGTAGGCAATAATTTTTAACACCAAAAAGTTGTGCAAGGTATAAAAAGTCGATGAAGAGTCTTCCCTTCCTCTTGGAAAGGTGAGCGGAACAAAACTTTCACTACAACTATAAAGCTTCTCTTCTGAAAAGCCAGTCGCCTTGAATAGATAGTGCAAGGCCAGTAATATTTCATTTCAAGTGATTTCGTCATTTTTCAAGCAAAGAAAAGGCTCATCTCTTAGGAAGGAAACGAAACGTACCGATGTCTAGTTCAAGGAGTTTAAAAAATTCGATTTTCATGAATGGCTTTAAATAACCGAGGCAACTAATGAAAGAGAGGTCATTTTGAGAAATAGATTTATACGGTTTTTTATTTTCGGATCTCTCTTCCTTTGCTTGCTCTCTGGATTTGCATTGATCGAAATTTGCAATTCATTTTTCACATTCACTTTTCCACCCTTTTCCGCAATGTAAATATATACATATATTAGCACACTATTTATATAATTTTGAAAATATGCTTTTAGGGAATAAACAAACACATTGCATAATAACATGACACACATTCGCTTGCCAGATTTTTTAAAAATTTCTACTTTTTTATTCGATATTATTATTAATCACATTAAGCATGTTCATGACATTTTTCCCCTTTGTTTGTTTGTTTGTTTGCGCTTGTTTGTATTTCTATCACCGAGTAGTAAAATATTTTCACCCTACCCTTGAAAGAATTTTGATGAATAATGAATTTGTAAAAATCCCTGATTTTTTTGAACGCAGGATTTTTCATATGGAGGTTTGGTTGATAAAACGCACAGTACAGATTTAAGTTGTGGCAAATCGGAGGGTAAGCTATTAAATCTATTTCTCTGCCATTTACAAAGCCTCATATAAAAAAAAAAAAATTTGTCCATCTTTTCTTAACAGCCTCAGTAGATTCTATAACTGAAGGGGATAGACGGGTTTTGGTAAGTTTTTGTTTCTTTCTTTGGGGAAAATATAATGTTTTTAAATTCTGTTTTTTTTTTTTTTATTTATTTTTTTTTTAATAAAGATGGGTGGTGATTTACCTGCCTCAAGCACATATTCAGGTGCTTTATCTTATCATTACCCTCAGGCGGGTTTAATACGCCGTAGCTTGCCTAATATGGCCCATTCAATGCTGGTTCATGAACCGGCCAAAATCTATCCTTATCATCTATTGGTTATAACAAATTATCGTTTACCATCGGATGTGGATCGTTGCAATTTGGAGGTAAATATTAAAAATGAAATAATTGCAAAAATAATTTAAACTTCAGCTAATTTCTCTTCACTATCGATTTTTAGCGTCATTTATCCGATGTCGAATTCGAGCATATTTTGCAATTTACCAGAGCTGATTTTTATAGATTGCCACAATGGCGACGAAACGAATTGAAACGTCGCGTTAGACTTTTTTAAAAAGAAATGAAAAAGAAAGTGAAACGCGCCCTTTTTTCCGACAAAAAACAAAAAAAAAGAAAAAAAAAAAGAAGTAAACTAAACCAGAGATAAAACGTAATTAAGCAAATGATACCAAAAAAAACAGAAAATGCGAAGAAGAAGAGTAAAGTTATTTTTTTGCTAAAACAGAAAAAAAAAAAAAACAAAGCATTAAAAAACAAAACCTATCAGCTTTATAACACGCTAAGCCGCTACACATCACATTATAAAAACAGAAAAACACTCTACTATCTATATTTGCAAATAATATAGAGAACAATAACAGTATAAGACAGATAGGCAGGTGCTTGACCAACTCAAAGTTCGTATACTGGAAAAAAAATTTTTTTTATATTTTTAACAAAGGATTATTAGCAGTTACAGATATATATATATATACGTATATATATATATATATATATATATATAAAAAGATCTCTATTTTTCTCTTTTTCATTTCTTTGCAAATAACATTTTTTTTTTTGTATTTAAGAAAAAAGTTATGCCAAACTTTGCAAACAAAAACAAACAAAAAAACACAAAATTCGATCGTGTCTTTAATCTGGTTCTTTTTAGTTTTCTGAAACGCCCCACAATTAATATTCTAAATATATAATCATATAGTAAATTCTTTTTGCATTAGATACCCAGTTGTCGTCATGTCTTACTCTGAAGTAAAAAGCAATTTGTATTTAAAATTTGAAATCGAATCAAAAAAATTTACAGACGCAAATTAATTAAGTTTCTAATAAGAAACACTTTATTCAGTCCCCAAAAGCAACATATTTGATCTGTACCTCTCTTTCGGAGACCGCAATACACACAAGACATCAGAAATCTATGGCCAGCAAACAGTTTCAAGTTTGTCTGGTTATGATCGTTCGTTTCTTGTTAAAGCTTTCACGAACGTTAAAACTGAACCTGGAGTTGTATATACGTACTTACATAGTTAATGGCCTCATAGAATTATTCCGAATACGCAGTTGTTTCATCTGCCTGCAATTGCCAGAGACATTTCGTTTGCAAAACATTGAAACAGAAAACATTGACCTAAGATTTTCATATGAGATCATATGAGGCTTTAGTACAAAAACGAGTATAATCGGCTCGAAATCTAAATCTGGAGAATTGAAATTCTGTAGAAGAAAAAGGATAATTCATTTGGAAATTTTGTCCATTTGAAAAATTAATGCAAAAAAAAAATTTCAATTATAAATGACGTAATCGTTGCAGCAGAACTTTGGCTTAAAGATCGTGAACCCTTAAAACTGGGCACGCCAGTAGATCGATTACGCTGGCGCTTAAAATTGGCCGCAATCTGCAGTTCATATATTCACCTTTCAATCGCATCACCTGTTGGTAAAACAAGAGTATATTTTTTAAACATAGAAGAAGCGTCTGGATGATTAGACCTTTCTTGGCCTTGCCTTTGCAAATATTTGTACACCAAATTTACAATCAATCCTTCAGGAGCTTTTTACGCTCTATAAAGTTCTGTAAAGAGCAAACATGTTCGCAGGTCGATTACACACAAGTATCGCCACCCTAAAGACCTAATAAATATGTTGTTCGAAGTTTTAGAAGAATTATTTTTGCTTTTCTTGCATGGAAGTGAAATTTTGCAATACTGAATGAAACTTTGCTAAATTATAAAAAACTTAAAGGTGCTTTTGATCAACTAACAAACCCTTTGTGCTCTTCGATAAGATGAACAAGTCTGCCGGTAAACAAACTTGTAAAAACTAAAAGACATGACGATAAAAAAAAAGGTTTCATCAGCCAATAAAAGAATTTTCTATTATCATCTAAGCTCTGGGGGTAAATATTCCTAAGGACGTTTTTTTTTTCTGACAGCTATTTATATTTATATTTTTTAAATCATGTGTGTTTGTATATTTTTTAAATCAATTGTTGTGCTATTTTTCCTACAAACATTTTTGATATGAAATTCTTTCAAATAAAAAACATATTCTCCTTCCAATTCGTTTAGGCGACCTAATGATATGCGATAGATATTGAAATCAAAAATCAAAACAAAAAAAAAAAAAATATATATATATATATATCCATATATATATATATATATATATCCATTAGATATGAAGTTAAAAATTGTTTTTTAAAAGAAGAATTTATTTCTATCACCTATCTATCGCCTATCTATCTTCCCTAATAATTATCAAATTAATCACACTCTCAAATTACTTTGCGCAGCTTCAATATTATTTGTTCAATTTCAATACTAATACATTTTATTTTTTATACGTTGATTTCTCGTTGATGATTTTATTTCATTATTACTCTCCTCCTATCGTTCGAATTCGACAACTATGTTAAAATCAAGTAAAAAGTTTTAAAGTGTTTTTCAAATAAAAAAAAAAATATATATATATATGTATAAATACATATTACAAATGACGCATTAAACGTATATTGACGTATTTAAATTTAAAAACAAAATTTAATAATATTTTATTTATTATTTTAATGAAGAAAAAAAAAAAAAAAAAGGAAAAGAAATCAAATACTATAACAATGAAAATTACTGAATCTTAAATGTAATAAACTTATAATTATTATATATATACAAAAATATATATATATATATATATAAAAAGCAAACGAAATATTTGTCTCCCGCATATTTCAATTTACTCGTAAATCATGATGTAACTACAAGACGCTGAGGTAAGAGAGGTTTAAGTCTGCGAGAAGATCTTACTGTTTGGTATCTGATCGTTGTTCCAGCTAATAATAAGGGAAGTGGTGGCCCTCAAATACCTTTTCTTTTTTTTTTATATCATTAAAATTACCGTTCCCGAAGCTTGACCTCATATCTCTTGTTCACGTTCTCGATATTAAAGCGTAGAAAAGCTTGCCGACAGGGTAACGAGTCAATAATTCCTCTTTTTATTAAGATTGTGATGTGTTCGTCCTTTTGAAGTCTTACGGCCCGTATACTTTCGTGTTAAAAGTTTCTGACATGGCTGACATTTTGCTTCAACGTTTTCATTGGTTGTTGACATGGGGCTGGGGCATTGTTATTGTCATCTTCTCGCCCGTCTGTGAAGAGCTTATACCACTTATAAACATTTCTTTTGCTCAAAGTAGACTCGCCAAATGCCACAGTCCACATTTTAAGTTAGTTAAAGCACTTAATTTTATTGTTTACATAAAATTTAATACAAATGCAAAATGCCTGATAAGGTCAACATGTGTTGCCGACGTGTGTCAACATAGCGAAAAAAAAAGAAAATACGAAAATCAAATGCATGTAGTCGACGAAATTTGAAAAATCGCCGACACACCGCGTCTGCCTCTCCTCAATTCTCAATGCATTAGTAATATAATAGAAAATGAATTGAAAGTGAATGTGTCACTTGCCAAATCGATCCGTTTCATTTTCTACATTTCTCTTTTCTTTTTTTTTTTTATATAAGTTTTAATGCCAAAGAATTTGATTGACGAGTGACTATAGTTTGTATGTATATATTCGAAGGAAATTGCCCTAGGAAAAAAAAGAAATACAGTACGCTCGGCTTATAACGCGTACTCATATAAGGCTAACTCGTACAACGCGTTGTGGAGAAGTTTCGATCTTACTTGTATAACACGCAAAAAAGACTTTGGGTTATGAACGACTCATGTATTTGTTTAATCTAAGTAACTCGTACGATAGGGATATATATATGTAGCACGGGACGAGTCTCCTGTTATTATAGTACTGTATTAACAAATAGTGACAACATTTTTGAGTCATTGAATAGTAAATAATTTATTTCAAAATTTATTATTATTTATTTATTTATATTCTAATCTAAATCGTAGTAAAAATTTATTTAAAATTCTTTTCGACAAAGCACTTAAAAGTTAAAATATATATGAAAATCAAAATAAACGCACATACACACACAGACATTTTCCAAGTGAGTGGATGTTAGTTCATCGATTACATTCGTTATGCCCATCAGTCTTAAAAAACGTTTGCACTCACTTTTAAGCAAACATCTCTTTCACAAGTCTTATGTCACAGTCCTACACGTTTGATGACCTCGTGATGAACTCATTTTTAAACTTCAGCTTCAGCTGTAAAAGTACACTTCAGTGTACTTTCCAATTTTCATTTTCTTGTTTTTGCCCTCTCTATGAATCTACGAAACGAACCGCGTAATTCACTTCGAATGCTTCTTCACACACTTTCAACATTTTTGTTCAGAAATGTTTTTTTTGGATTTGGCAGGGACTTAAAAAAGTCTTGGTACAGCAGAATTAGGTGCTGTTCGATGAATCAAAACATATGTAATACGATTTACTTATTTAATTTTTTTTCTTTCCTTAATTTGACGGAGGTAGTTTAGTTCAACGTAAATACTTTCTAAACACTTTTGATGGAAATTATCAGGTAAAACGTTAGACTGTAGTTTCCCAGAAGGGATTCATTTCACACGGGCGAAGATTGCAAAAGACCTCGAAAAAAGTTATGAACATTTTGCACTTCTTCTAGAAGAAGTGAAATGATCAAATGGACATATAAACCACATTTCTTGTCATCGGCATAGCCGACTTCAATTCAACATGCAAAAAGAAAACCAAAGCCCAAAAGACCATAACGGATGAAGCCCATTGAAGGCACATATAAGACACTTTCGGCTATTACAAAATCAAATTTTTATTGTTAAGAAAAAATTATTATTAGTCGCTTCGAACAACTTCTTTGTACACTTGTTAAATGGCTTTGATTTTTCGCTAAAAGCCGTTGGCTGGTTTTTTCCTTTACATCGTTCATAAGAAAAAGTACCTTATGTTGAGAATGGAGAGAGCACAGAGTTACTTTCAATAAATTGCAACGCTGCGATTCTGTTAAAAGGGAGAAAAACGATGCAATTCTGTTAAAGTTGTGAACATTTCCGATGCGATTCTGTTAAACGAGAAATCTTAGCTAAGCTTCCGTAAAATGAGAAATTTCCGACACAATTCTATTAAATAAGAATTTGCATGATCAACTGGTTTCTAATGGCATTAATTTGCAGTAATCTCGATAGCTTTCTGTAAATATTTCTTCGCGGAATTTAAATAACCATTCCTACTGTGAGCTAAACGGGCAATATTGTAATGAACTTAAAAATTGAAGAAGGAACGAATTTTTTGAACATATATATTTTCAACCAACCAATACCTAATAAGAGTGTTCTTCAAAATCCTTAGCTGGGATGGGCTACTGGGGTAAGTAATTTAATTTAAGGTAACCAATTGCAACAAGAGAACCGAAAGATTATTGTTATAGTTTTAATTTATGTGAGGAGAGATGTTTAGGAAGTTTCGTCAAAAAAAAAAAATGCTTTTTTTTTAACGGCTCTGCATATAATTTGAAATAAGTAAATAAATTGTAATAAATTAAGAACGCCGTGGTAAGCATCTTGTTGTCGGTACAAGTTTCGGCTCTCGTTGAATTTAAAGTACTTACTTTATATATAGCTGCAGAAACTTGTCAAGAAATTGTGCATTTGATTTTCAGACAAACCATTCAATGGGTAAGACCTGATCGCTTGCGCCACGTGGCATTCGAGCGTTGTTTTAAAATATAATGTTAAAGACCAATATATACACAGAGAGCGTTTATAATTAGTTATAAGAAAGAGAAAGAAGTACATTTAAAATCAATGATTAGAAGATTAAGATTAAGCTTTTTTTACGGAAGTAACTTCTTGTCTAAAAGCTTGGCAAGCGGTAATGAGTGTTTTTTCACAAACAAAACTTTTTCCTTGCATTTGAATTGATATTCGAAAAATATTTATTTAATTTTACATATATATAAACTTATGTACAGATCGAGTATTCAACTGTTATATGATTATACATTTTGGCAGTATAAAAACTAGAATGAATAGAGAGTTCTGTAATACCAATGATCGGTTAACTGTTGGAGTAAATTCGTTCTATTAAATAAATACTTGATTCTTTGGTTGCTCTTATTGATGTGCATTTGATTGAAGGATGGATGCCTTCATCGCTTAATTTTGTTTTTGTAAAGCTTCGTCTTTCCGTAAATTAAATGTTAATTGGGTTTTCATTACAGACAAACTGTTACCTATTATTTGTTTATGATAAATTTGACGCGTAGCAAAACTGAAATAGAAAAAATAATTTTTTTTTTTTTTGTTTTTTTCATATAATTTTAATAAATTTTAATATAAAAAATTTAAATATTTACCCTAAATTATCATAAAAATCTCTTTCGTTTTCTTGCCACTCGGATATAGTGGATTCTATTGTTTGATAACCAAGTTGAACGCAATTTTTTAAAATCAAACCAAACATAGGCTCAGCAACTTTTTGAAAGGAATAATTGGGTGCAACAGCGAACCGAATCCAAGCGGCATTATAAATGCTACTATGACTTTTAACACTAACCGTAGCTATTATCTGTGGAAAATGCAAAGAAGAAAGAAAAAAAAATATTTTTTTAAAATCTTAAAAGCTTCTTTCCCCAATTTGACGATTCATATTTGTTGTAGACGTCTTGAAATTACCCCAAGAACATAATACCAATGAAATATTCACTTTTATTAAAACAACTAAAAAGTAACAAAAGTAAAAGCGATACATTAGGGCTAAATGGACTAGGACATTCTCCCCAAGGTCTTCCTTAAAATACAGCATTGTTCGGCGAATTTATTTTCGATAGGGTTCACCTTTCGATTAAAACTTGTTTGTGTGGACAGTATATCATTGCAATCGCATTCCGGACGCGAAACTACAAGGAATGACAAACCGACTTACATCGATTTAAAAAATGATTGCGAAACGATTGACATAAAAAAAGATAAGTCCCTTCCACTGTACCAAGCCATGGTGGCGAGCATAATGATATGATAATAATTCAAGCGTTACAAGCTATGATAGCTCGAATTAATATGTTTGCTCAAGATTATACGATAAGACCTGCTCAAATGATAACAAACGGCCAACTTTAAACAAATCCCACTTGCTGTACAGGGTATATTAAGTTGTGTGGACGTATGTAACACGCAAAAGTGGTTAGGATAGATCCAGCTTTTATTGTAACGATCGATTCAGACTCATTTTCTAAATCGCTTTAAGCCTGTCTGTCTGTCTGATGACTGTCCACGTAAACTCAAGCCACGGGCCGCAATTTTCGAAATATTTGGATAAATTTTGGTGCACAGACGCGTTTTGACTCAAGGCGGAAAGCTATTGAAAATGTTTTGGATAGGTTCACTTTTTCGATCGCACCCCATGTAACGCTATATTTCGAGAAGCCGGTATGTGGATAAAATTGCAATTTTGAAAATTTCTTGACAAAAGTTCCTAAATAATAGTATTTCGGCATGCTAAATTGGTATGAAACTTTGGACCAGCTCTGGCAACAGCGAACTTCTTCGCATATAACAAGGTTTATAGTGAAAGAAGTTTATATGACAAAAACGCCTAATTTTCAACGCTTCATGATGAAAATCAGTTCAGATAATACGATAAAAAAATTCACGATACCAAATTTGGACTATCCGCGCCTAGTTTTGAATCCTACCATGTATAAGGATTTTTGTTTTTTTAGGGTTGAAAAGTTTAAGTTTTAATATGTTAAGATAAACGTTGATTCATAATAGTGATTGGATGTAAAAATTAACTATTAATGTTGAATTTTGAATACGTACCACAATTTATGAGCCTCTTGGATACAATCATTCTTAGGGAAAGAAAAAGTAACCATTTATTTGCTTAGGGGTCTAATTTTTAATATACGGTCCCATAATAGTAAGTTCCTATAAAAACTGTGTATAATTTTGGTGTTCTACAGCAAAAATAAGAATTGTGTTAGACCATGTGGTGTAGGGTATTTAATCGGCCTAGCTCGATTATAACGCTTCACTTGTTTAGATGTGAACATGTGATGGCAATCTTTAGCACCTCATTAGATTGGGGATGTAACCATATTTAGCATTATATATTTGTGAGACCCCATCAACTTGTTGGTTAAAGGCAACGAAGAAGCGGAAAGGGAGTAGGCTCGAATTCCTATCTAGTAAATTTTCTTTTCGCTATAAAGAAAATTGCGAGCGCTCCCATGTTATTTTTTTTCGCCCAGAAAGACTAAATTCTGTTGAAGTGGATGGGTTTGTTTGAATCATTAGATAGGCTGATTGACGTTACATTAGCTGTGGCCGAGAAAAAAATCAATGATTTTTGTTGTACTTTTATAGATAGGGATTAGAAGCGCCGTTCAGCGATTTATTAGCTGGTGTTATTAGGACGAGAAGGATAATTTTCACTTTTGTTTGTAGCGAATGATAGAACCTTATTTTTTAAATAACTACACTTTTAACTTCAAAACGAAAGCGCCAATTACTGGACCGTGGATATAAAAACGCATATTATTTAATAATTCAGAAAATTTACCTTTTTACGAAACTTATTTTTAAAGGACGGTTCGTAGGGAGCATCATCCATAAAGATTTGATAAGTAACTTCATTAGGCTTAAGGCGGAAAATATAGGGTTCATAGCATTCGGCTACCAGTGCCTGATTAGGTTTTGTCTATACCAATCAAAATACCCATGAACATGTAATTTTATTACAGAAAAAATTGACTTTTAATACTGACCTTCATTAATTCTACTGCTTTAGCATAAAAAGAAAAGTAAGTACCAGAAAATAAGAAAAATATACATCCAGGTACGCAAAGCGCACAAAATGCGAGCGGCACACCCAGAAATATGAAAAGTATAGCCCAAGTTATAACTATAAATTGCAAAGTTATCTGAAATGTGATTGCAAATTATGCTATATTTTAGTTAAGTTCTTTTCTTTTTAAGTGCACTTACTTCCCGAAAACAAAAACAATAAAATGACTTTTTGAAAAAGGACATAATATAATCGCGTACCAATTCTTGGCATTTAAGTTCATCATCTTCTCGATAATTTCGTACGACAATAAATGGTTGCATTTACTTTTATATTTGTGTAAAGTAATAAATTAAATTTAATTAAGCGTTTGTTCCATTTAATAAACATCAATATCAATATGAATTTTATGAAACCGATATAAACGGCTAATACAGCTAAAACAGCTGATATCAAAGAGAATTATGATTAATATGACATAAACATGTTTCATTCGAAAGAGGACGATAATAAGAGAAAAACAAGACACTCTCTCGCTTAATAGTAAATGTAAACAAAAAACAGCTGATAATAATGATTCAGCAGTTAGCAGAATTCAGGAGAACGCAATATCGGGGTTGTTAACGATAAAATCGAATATTCGATAACACATTGCAATTTATTCAACAATTGCCGGAACTGAAAAGTTCATTTTGCCGTAAAATAGTTTTGCACATTACTTTAGTAAAAAGAAATTTTAACATTTTTGTATATCTTTTACAACTGAACTAGAAATTTTTTAATTAAAAAAAAAAAAACTGAAGAACACCTGCAGACTTAAAAAGAGCAAAAGTGTGCTTCGAGAGGATTTGCAATTTTCTGAAAACACTTGCAAAAATCGCAAAGCCAGGATCCGAAAATATGGAAGATTGCGAGAACGTGCCCACGAGCACCCAAGATCAAGAAAACAATATTAGCAATATTACAAGTACAAGTAATAACGTAAACGATGCCGACGAGGATAAGAATATTAAAGAACAGCAGAAAAGTACACAGAAAAAACCCAATTTTATATGTGGTGTCATTGAAGGATTTTATGGTCGTCCCTGGACAACTGAACAAAGGAAAGATTTGTTTCGCAAGTATGCACAAGAGACAGCTTCTTCATCGAATTCTTTTTAAGCGAGCGATTTGTTTCTATTGCAGATTGAAGAAATGGGGCATGGACTCTTATGTATACGCACCAAAAGATGATTATAAACACCGAGCGTACTGGCGCGAATTATATACAGTGGAAGAAGCTGATCACTTATCAGGTAAATACCAAACGCTTTGCCTCATAAACTATGATTTAAAGTACGCTTTTTTATTGCTGATTGCAAGGTTTGATTGCCGCTGCTAAAGATCAAGGCATTACCTTTTACTACGCTTTATCTCCTGGCTTAGATATGACTTATAGCAGTCAAAAGGAATTGCAAACCTTAAAGCGTAAATTGGATCAAGTTTCTCAATTTGGATGCGAAGCGTTTGCTTTACTTTTCGACGATATTGAGTCTGAGTTATCCAAGAGTGATAAAGAAGTTTTTCAAACATTTGGTAATGCTCAGGTGTCCGTAACCAACGAAATTTTCACTCATCTGGGTAATCCCAGATTTTTATTTTGCCCAACTCAATATTGCAGCTCGCGCGCAGTGCCTACCGTTCATGACTCGGAGTATTTAAATACACTAGGATCAAAACTTAATCATGACATTGATATTATGTGGACCGGTAATAAGGTAATATCGAAAATTATCACTTTAGAGTCGATACAGGAGATAACGGAAGTTTTAAGAAGACCTCCGGTGATATGGGATAATTTGCATGCAAACGATTATGACCAGAAGAGAGTATTTTTGGGTCCCTATTCAGGACGTTCACCAGAGTTGATACCCCATCTGAGAGGTGTAATGACCAACCCAAATTGTGAATTTCATGCGAATACAATAGCTATACACACGTTGGCTTATTGGTCACGTTGCAGTTTAGATTCGAAAGTGAATAGTGAGTGTGATAATAAATTTTTCAGGATACTTCTAATCATTATCATTTCTTTAGGCTCTATATCGGCAGATATCAAACTCGAGACAGAAAATGATGAAGATACGAACGCTGATAGTTTACCTCAAGAGTGTTGCCTCTCGAAAAGTATCTATCATCCTCGTATGGCCTTGAAGTAATTTACCTATATCAAACAAATTTTAATAATAATATTATATTTTTTTTCTTGATGTATTCTAGAAATGCTATTACAGAATGGTTACCGGAATTTTCTATAGAAAAAGAAGCTTGGGGACCAATTACAAAGCCTCAGCCACAAGTTACAAGTAAGTTAAGATGTTTGTCTTTAGCTTATTTCCTTTATTATTCTTCTTTTGTAGTGGTGATGCCTATTATACCAATAATCCCGTCGATTAACACTTGCATGAGCTTGACTACCACAACGACAACATCAACGAATGCTAAGACTGTTACGCTTCCCGAAGTAAACACTACTCAATTACAAGCCTTGGCCGATGTTTGCAGTACAGTAAACTCATCATCGGTAAATCCAATCGCGAATCCTATAATGAATTCTTTGGTTTCGCCCACTAAAGTAGTCACCAACGATGACATTTTAAATCCCATACCTACTTGTGTGGCTTCGAACATTGAACTGCCTAAAAAGATACCTATTTCTATAGTATCTGTACCCATAATGCATACAAAGGCAGTAGGTAGCGACGTTGATAGCGACGATATGCGGGATTCTGATACGGAGAAGAAAACAAGGTAATAGAAGGTGTAACGTCAAAATATTGCTTTGTACTACCCATCAATTCGCTTTTTTTTGCCATTTCAAACTGCTGTTGCATATTAAAAAAAGTAAGAAAATTAAAAGCACCTTTTATACTCGTGACCGTTATCCTAAAAATGGCAAAAAAAGTAAAACAACTAAATTTTCAGACGAGCAGGCGGACATGTTTAGGTGCATTGCACGGTTGCAACTGGCCAACAATATGTACAGTTTATGGGGTTTTTAAAGCTTATTTCTGCGTATTATAAAGATGTTGAAAAAATATTTAAATTTTCATACACTATAATATTGAATAGGCGTGATTAATTTTTTCAATTTTTGTGAACAGATGCTACAGCATCGCCCATAGAATATGCGTTCAAATCTTTGTACATTTATTGTCTATAGTTTATGAGTAATGAGCAGAAAACCAATCTTTCCAAAAAACCAAACATTGCCTTTGAAAAGCAGAGGTGTTCTCAGTTTACGCGGTGCTGTGGACGTGTCCTTTGACCGATTTCGTTCATTTTCAATATCAATCTGCATGCAAGAACTTCCAGACGGGCGGATGCTGATCGTTGTGCGTTGTCTAAAGCTTCTTTCTGGACGTTGAAAACGTTTTGACGAAATGAATGCACCCCTCGTCCGTCGGAGTCGGTCAGTAGTTGGCGACTTACTACTTTACGCAAAACGATCAAAAGCAAAATTTTAACACATTACCTGCCGCTAAAGTTTACAAGAAAAGTTCTTTTGATAGCGGGTGAAATTCGAAATAATTATAAAAGGGTAATCAGAGTAAACATGACATATATTTGTGAGCATTCTCCAAAATGTAACGGTATCTTACAAGAGTTTAGAGTTTAGACTTGCGTAAATTTTTTTTTAGTGAAGTAGTTTTGAGAATATTTTGAATTTTTGCCAAGCGATTTGAATTTGATGTTACATTTCCATTATGTGGGAAATGGAAGACAGACTAGCATTTGCTAGAATCTATTAAGGCTCATAATTTTCCGACTTTTCTATAATTTCGATTTTCATACAAAATATTTCTTCAAATTTTAAAAGTAGGAAACTTAAGCCTGTTGCCATTTCTGAGATAACTGTAAAAGCCGAAAATTGTGATAGAGAAGTTTTACCCGAGGTACAGTCTTCAAAAGTAGACTCAAAGTTAGAAGAAGACATTGCGATCGATGAGAAACCGGTAGAACCGGACAGTACAGGTCTATCAACAGATAATTTGAGTCCTGTCAGTGCTGTCAGTGCTGGTAATGAGCCTATGGAATGCAGCAGTAGTTTAACTTCGCAAACTTCGCCAAAAGACGACTTGGCTAAAATGTTGGTCGGTGCCAATGAAGACGTAGTCATGGCGGAATCAGCTACTGTCGGGGAAATTAATGTATGTTCCCTAAAATCATTATTAAATGTCAGATTATTTCCTTAATAATTTTCCTCAATTAATTTAAGAATACAATGCAAATTGAGAGTACGGCCCCTTCACCCTTATCACCAACAGAAATGATTGATGCTGGATATAAGTGAGTTCTTAAAAAAAATTTGCTTTTGCAAGGTTTAGCTTTGATTTTTTGATTTTCTTTTCAGATCGTCTACTGACAGAGCGAAAATTAGCGCCGACGATTTATATTTGCTCTGCGATCTTTTTTATTTACCGTTTGAGCATGGCAGTCGGGGTTTTAAGCTCCTAAATGAATTCAATTGGCTAAAAGCAAATGCTCATGTTTTATTAGAGGCCAAGAACAAGAAGAATCATTCTAATGAGACCCTATGCAAACCAGAAGTATCCGAATGGCTGCAGCGAGCCGAGTGTTTCTCATCTTTGTGCAATTCAGTTCAAGATCTGCTGAGGAAGATAGCGACTTGCGAAAACAAGGAAATTTGTCACGACCTATTCTCCTATATATGGGATATAGCGGGCGCCTTGTCCCTTCTTAATGCGTTTGTAAAGTGGTTGCGTTTGGGTCAATTTCCTGCGAATGTCTTCAGCTATACACAAGGCACTTATACTTGTACGTGCGCGAAAGCGATGATTTATCTTATTTTACTACTTAGCTATATATATATATATTTTCTTTCGACATTTCTATAGTTTTCAAATTTTTCTTTTCGCAATTGTTCACTAAACTGAACTAATTGAAAACAAAAATTAACCCATAATGTATTTCTGTCATAGGGTTTAGCAAAGGCTGGAAAGAGGCATTCATGTCAGGTGATCAGGAACCATGGGTATTTCGCGGTGGCCTTATAGCTGATTTGCAAAGATTGATGCCTGTAGATTCTGGTAACGATTTATTCTTGTACAAGCTGCCTGAATTGCCCACTACTGAATATCATGTGATGCGTCCTTACACTCACTTGGACGAAAATTGCGTTAACGATGTTTGTACCCAACAAGTTTTATCACTAGCTGCCACGGAAGGTAATCCCGAAGATCTTCGATTGCCCGAAAACTTAAAAGATTTGTTAGCAGACTACTTAGTCGGGCCATTTATTACTTTGCAATCAGAATTCTGTATCGTAGCTACAGATGCTTCAGGCAAAATTGTGGGATATACTGCTAGCGCCTTGAATAGTAATACTTTTTTACGCGATGCTTCCATGTGTTGGATACCCGAAATGTGTAAAAAGTATTCAAAATCGTTGCTGGAAAAATCTTGTGATTTCACCGAATCGAAGGCATTAAATAACATGCTATCCGTAATGATTAACGATTTCCATCAATATAATATTGATTGCCCAACGGAAGTGAGTAACTCTTATCCAGCCGCTATGACTGCCGCTTTGCTGGACGATGCTCTGGGACAAGATTACGGTATAGCGAAACGTTTAGTAACAGTTATGTTGGCCACATTGAGAGCTAACGGTTGCTTTGGAGTGCATGTACGTTTACCCGCCAAGGATATTGGCATTCAATTGGCGCAACATTATATAAAATTGGGTTTTGCAGAAGTGTATCGTGATAGAGAATCTTTCACTTATTTCGGACGTCGTTTCTAGCAACGTAATCGTATTGAGCGTTACGTAAGCATTAAAAAAAAATACGGCAAGCATGATACTAAATATCGCTTTAAGTGCCCGTCATTTTTTGTTGATTGGAACCACAAAAGATATCCTGTGTTCGTAGGAAATCTTCCGGTCCCCTCCCGCTAACGCCCTATACCTATGTAAGTATTTAAAAGAGAAAACCCGTAGACATTATGTACGTGCGTGTAACTAAAAAAAAAAAAAAAAAAAAAACACTAATCCTTATCGAATTGGAAACTGTGTATCTTGCATTTAAGTAAAATTTTATTTTTTTTATTTTGAATAAATCAAACAATATATAAAGAAAATTAAAATTGAACTAAGCTTGACGTCGGCTGCTGGTATTGTTTTCACTAAGATTATAAAACCATACCGTATCAACGCCAGCATCAATGCTCTTTACGGGCTTTAGGTTTGGCAATGGAAAACGACAAGCTATTACTTTAGAGTGAGGCGCTTCTAAAACTAACTTATTTTCCAGCTGCTCCATCTGGAATGCACATATCGTACAAAAGACCAAAAAGTAATTGTAAATGTTTACCATTTGTTCGACTCCAAAAATAATCACATAATCGTATGGTTTTAAGTTGAATTTCCACAAATCTTTGCAAAAAAATTTAGTTTTCGGATACACGCCTTCTTTTAACGCAGCAAAGCGTGAATACCATACGAGCCACGGATTTAATTCCACACCGTGGGAGCATTTAATACCTTGCTGGGCGGTTGCTATTACGATCCGACCGTCACCCGAGCCAATATCTAGCAAACGAACTCGATTTTCATTGCGTGGTAAAAAATGTAAAACATTTTTTATCTGTTCAGCGGTAGCGGGTACATACGGTAAACAAATGCGACGAAATGCTGGTGCCACAAATGCAAAACATACTATGGAAATTCCTAGACCAATACCGCCTGTTGCTGCTATTAAGACTTTTGCACCATTGGACATGGATTTCCTTGTATCCGTTTGTGTAACCATTTATTTACATTTTACTTAGCGGCGTTGCCGTAGACAAATAATTTATTTAAGTTAAATGCAGTAATTGCGCTCAAAACTGATGCTTGCACGTTCAACTAACATTGTTTTCAATTAAATAGTATTTAAGCAGCTTTGAGAGAATAAATAATAATAGAGCTATTGTTCAGAATTACGGTCTGCTAGACAAAATTTACGATTCGGGATAGATATATTCAGCTGAGTAAAATATATTTTCTGTTAAAGACCATAACGAATTGTCATTAACATCAGCGTCGAAAAGAAAACAAATTTCTGAGGAAAAAATTTGAAATGACAGAAGCACTTACGAGCCGTTATATATAATATAAATAACTTTTATTTTATATAATTTAAGTTACTAAACCTTCATACGTTCAACATTCTAAGCATATTTAGATTGTCCCACTTTTTACTTTAGCATCGTTTTTTAAATCGTCTTAAGTCCTTCTGTCCGTATGATTACTGCACGAGTTTTTGCGTTGGATCTACAGTTCGTACATTTTAAAATATTTTGAAGAGAGACATGATTTGACTCAAAGATAAACCTTATTGGAAACGGATTGCAGCAGATTTATTTCAAGGTCGCGATCCATATAATGCAGTATTTTGAAAAGCCAAGTTTGTGAAAAATGTCCAATATTTTTAAAGAAACCTCGATAAAAAGTAGTATTTTGGTATAAGCAAAAAATTTGGAAAATTTGGTATGCCCAGTTCCAAGCAATCGTTGTTACAAAAACATAAGTCTGCAAAATTTGTCCAAAGTAATGCTTTGACCTGGGTGTTAAATTTTCGATTTAAGTTCAGTTCATGTTACAATGATGTCTAACTCCTCTAAATTTCTGCTGATTTGACGATTTGATGGTTTTTAATGTTATATCTAATATCCTCATATGAGGATTGGTCCAAAATATATATGTATATATATGACATATAAATTTTAAATTGTTTAAAATTCGTTGATTTATCGTGGAAAGGAAAAAGTTATATGCTAGTAAGATATAATTTATGACATTTTATGACTTGAGTATGATCTGACGATTATCGAAGAATTTCTTTCCAACATATTTCTTTATTCGTTTTTATTGAACTGTGCATAGTCTAACATTTACTTTTAAAATATCTTAACATCTCTGTTTTCTGTTTTGTCAAAATGTGATATTTTTAACACTTGACTGTCATTTGCAAAAAAAAAAACTGCTAACCCACATATTTAGAATGTTTTTCTCTCTCCTTTCATCATTTTAAGATGGTTCTCTCTTTTCTATTCCTCTCAGTCGAGTAGTTTGTTTATATACATTTTACTTCTGAGTTCTTTAAGTTCTTTAAAAAAATGTCTGTTAAATGGGTCGAAGTAACAGAGTTCTTTACAAAGATGTCTGTTAAAGTAGACGAAGTGGCGGAAAAATATAATAGACAATAATGAAGAACGTGAGAGAATTAAGGAAAACACTAAAGAGTAGCAAATAATTGACTCGATAACATCTCGCAATAATTCCAAACATAACTAAGTCATGACACCGCCGAAAGTAAATGACACCGCCGAAAGTACATGTCACCGCCGAAAGTAAATAACACCGCCAGTTGCGTCTGGTAATCTTTTCCATTAAGACGTTATAAGAAAGTGTTGGATAAAACGAAACCCGAGCAAACATATTGGCCTTTAAAGTCGCTTGCTTCTTTACGCTCCCCATATCTGACATCGTTGCAAATGTGTGCTTGATCTTGCATAGAGCTAAATTTGCGATTTAGCAGGAATTAAATTGGGAGACTTAAAATTCCATTATAATAAGGGAATATTTCCAAATTAAATGATAATATGCGCAAAATTTCGTTTTTGCTTAATATTATTCTGCTACAATTCATAAATTGGTTTCACTTTAAAAAAAAAAATCAGTTTCAATGCATTTCGCGGGATTCCTAATTTTTCTGTTTTTTTTATTAAATCAATATGTACACAGGGATAATTTTCATATGAAATTTTTTTTGAAGGTGGCAGAGAACTTAAAGTGAAGGATATGGTAACGCTGTTCTAATGTTTTATGTCGGACTTAACGAAGATGGCACGTCAGTTTACTGAAAAATGGCGAATGTGCGAGACAGCGACACATCATTGTGGCTGCATAATAAACTCGGAACATCAAATGATTCGTGGATAAGTGGCTCTATTTGTTCTCAATTAAACAAGGAAGTGTTGCGCAACATTAAGGAATGTTTTCCCGACCTCCAAACTCAAGTGAAATTGAAATTATTGTTAAGTTTCTTCCATATTCCGCGTCGTCTTGTAGAAGAGGTAGCGTACAAAAAAATTTTGTTGGTGAATTTGTGAAAAATTTTAAGTTTCGTTAAGTCATACAACACACCAATGCACATCAACAAAGTACGATATTCATGTGAATATGTGCAGGAGAACAAAAAGAAAAAAAAAATAAATATTGGTGAAAATAAAGCAATGTAATGTAATATGCATATAATGTAAATATTTATAAAATATTAGGCATGGAAACCCATAAAAACTGAAAATAAGAAAATAAATTTGATGAAAGTGATGTATCTTTTGAATTGCCGGAGATAGTATGTTGAAATCAGTGTTGTATTTTCCCGCCACGGCAGTTCTCTTGACCGAAACACCCATTTGATGTTAAATGGGTGCGAATAAGGTGTTTTGCTAATAAAATTCTTGTAATTTTTCAGTGGAAAACGGAACTCGACGGTGTCATCGAAGTCGCTGGCCTAGATACAGAACTATGGGTGTCAATGTTGGCAGAGAGTATGAAAACATTTCCAGCGACCAGCTCGCTCAATACGGAGATCTCGGATTACGAAGATACTCGTCCCATTTTCACAGAAATGGTGAATGATTTAAGGAAGTTAGTGGCCAAGCATAGCGACTTAGGCATGTTACCCTTGGAATGTCAATATCTTAATAAAAACGCTTTAGTGTCAGTGGTGAGTGATGCTCGCTTATTGATTTTCAATAGAAATTGATAATTGCTAGTGTTCAAATTTTTAGGTGGGTCAGCAACCTAATCCTGTAAAACATTTTACCATCAAACGCAAACCAAAAAGTGCTACTTTGCGAACTGAGTTATTGCATAAATCTGCTGATGCTCAATCGTCTTTAAAGAAGGCTTCGGCGCCTACTATACCGCTTCGATCAAGAGGCATGCCACGAAAGATGACAGACACAACACCTTTGAAAGGCATACCATCCAGAATGCCGACGTCGGGCTTTCGTTCGCCTAATGTAAATCCTAATAATCAGCAAAGGCCGAATTTAAGCCGGACTCCGGCCGGCCGTAAAGATGGTGGCATTAAACTTATTGAATTTACAGAGCAACCGTTAGGTTATGCAGCGGCAAAGAAACGTAAACGGGAACAGCAGCTCGAAGAACAAGCCAGGAAACATGAACAAAAGGCAGCCGCAGCGGCTGCAGCCGATAATAGTTCGCCCACATCGAACAGTGTACCATCAAATAATGCGGCGACCGCATCCGTTCCTTCCACAACAACCACAAATAGTTTTGAAATCAAAACCGAACCGACGAGTTTACTTAATCGAAGCCAAAGTAACAATATAGATGATGGCGTGACTTTGGAACACAAAGAGGACATTAAACCAGAAATCGTGGATAACATCGCATCAAGCACACACTCAGAAAGCATATCTACGCCCGAATATGCCCCACCCTCGTTGAGTTATACGCAGACGGCACCGGGCGGTTTAATAGATAATGTTGGTACGCACTCCAGCCTAGAAGTGACGAAACCTATAACGTCCAACGATGTAACTGCCAGCAGTTTGCAACAGCAAACGCAACAACAAAAATCTGGCAACAACAATAATAACTCAAATAGTATGAACCATCCCCACAAACGGATTAAACAAGAAATTGAAATAAAAAGCGAAGAGATTTTGGTGCCAGCTAATATTAAAGTGGAAAAGTTAGAGCTGAAAACACAGCCAGTGGTTACGCAAACTTCAACTCAGACTTTAGTTCAGCGAATACAACAGAAACAACAACAACAACAGCAACATCAACCTCAACAAGCTCAACGAGTCATTATTCAACAGCAACAATCGTTACCTATATTGCAACATATACAAACTCAAACTAATCAGCAACAGTATCAACAACAAACACATCAACAACAGCAAACGCAGCAGACGTCTACCCAACATGTCATTATACGCACTTCACCTCAAACACAAAAACAAGCGTTGGCAGTAAGACAGCAAAACACAGCGTCGACACCGGTGAAAATGGAAAAACTGGAAATCAAACCTTTGGTACGTAGCACTATTGTCAATCAGCCTGGAACAATTTTAACCCAGCAGCAACCAATGAGGCCGGCTGCTACGAATTCCTCCAATCCTTTGGCGAATTTACCGAATAATATTTCGGTCAAAATAACCTCAACCAAAACGGGAAAAGTCACCCAAACACAACAGACTCTTGTTCAATCGACCCAGCAGCAGCAGCAACAACAACAAACGCATCAACAACAACAACAGCAACCACAACAACAACAGCAAATTCTTATTAATAGTTCTACCCCCGTTATATTAGCATCAACTCCGACGCAAACAGCTGCTATGCGGCAAAAACAGTTATCCACAAGTGCGGTAACGGCGCAGAATGCTATTCCGCAAACGGCCCAGGCGATCAAATCGATGCCGCTTAGTCAATTAAAGAATGCAACAAACAGTGGTCCAGTTATTATATCGCAAACTATAATACAACCAGCTAAAAGGGCTAATAACGCAACAGCGGTTAATCAGCAGCCAAGCCAGCAAGCACAAACTCAACCCACGCAAATTATACAACAAACACATACTCAGCAGCATCAACCATCAAATCCCAATACTACCACGCAGTATATATTGACTCAGCAACAACCAACGCAACAACAGCAACAACACCAGCAAACACTGTCAACATTGACAGCTTATACCCAAAATCGTCAGCAAAATACATACACCACGACATCCCAAACTCCGCAAACGCCCACCTCTACCAAAATACTTCTCAAAACTTCACCCTCGTCGGGCGTAGTGATACGTCAACAACAACAACAACAGCAGCAGCAACAGCAATCGCAGCAAACTGTCGGGAATCCTCCACCTCTTATAGCGACAGCGACATCTACATCGTCCGCATCCACTCTTCTCAATATACAAAACGTGCAATTACCGAATCGTCCAGTTACAATACAGCCTGCCTCTCAAGCTGCCCAACAACAACACTTGCAAGCCCAGCTTCAGCAACAACAACACACACTAGTCTCTAATAATACGGCTACGCAACAACCGAAATTAACACAAGTTCTCATGCAACCCAGCGGCAGTACCGGTACTGCCACTGTGACAACGACTCCTGCTAATGCTAATCTTAAAAATAAAACAATTATCCTCACGCAGAAAGGCGTCATTCTTCGTAATATTGTAGGTGACATGTATGAACAGATTCCCATTAGCAATGTGAGCGGCTTGCAAACTCTCGGCACTGGCTCAACTACGCTTATGACAACTGCGGCAGGTCCGCCCGGTCTTGTAAAGACTACGACGGTGTCTGCTTTGCCCCAAACGCAAACGATTACCCTACAACAACAGCCGCAAAGTCAGGTGACAAAAACACAGCTGCCAACATTGATACCGACGCAACAGCATATGATTGTGCAACAACAACCACAAGCTACAGCGAGTTTAATAACAAATGTTCGTATCAATTACTTAATTTTCGAATTTAATTTCATATTATTGTTCTCTTCATTTATTTATTTATTTTCCAACAGCCTACGCAGCAGACTATTATACGGCCGGTTATGACAAATGTGCAAAGCGGTTTGACTGCTTTACCCGGCGGCTTGACCTTAATCCAAAGGCCCGGTCAACAGCCGCAACTTGTTCAAGTACAAACGACACCGGTACAACAAGCGCAGCAACAAACTCAAATACAGCGTACAATTATTACGCAACCAGCCATCCAACAAACTACTCAGCAACTGCGTCCGCAGCAAATTGTTTTGCAACAAAAGCCAGCAGCGACACAGCGGCTTATTACGAGTACACAACAAATACAATTACAGCAAAACGCTGCGGGCGGAATACAGCGCATTATACAATTGCCTCAACAGCAACAACAAACGCAGCAAGCTACGCAAACCCAACAGCAACAGCAAACTCAACCGCAACAACAAACAGCGCCTCAACGTAAAGGGCTTTCATTATCGGTTCGTAAAGCTGTTAAGCAGAATGATGAACGTTTAATGAACATTTAAAAAACTATTTTTCATTGCAGAACGAACACGTTCATAAGGCCCATGAAATGTTTCGTAAAGCGAATCGTGTGTCGCGCCCAGATAAAGCTCTAATATTGGGATTTATGGCCGGCTTGCGTGAAAATCCTCGGCCCAATTCGGAAAATGTGATTGTCATCAAACTGGGAGAAACCGAAGTAAGTGCGAAATGTTATATTGTTCGCGTTTGTATAAAAGGTTGAGTGTTGAATTTTCAAAATTTGTTTCTGGTTAAGTTGAGAAACTATAACTAATTTATATAATTGGTTAGAATGAACAGCCGAATTAATGGCTTGTCGGTCCACTATTACCAGAAAAATGACCTAAAAACCCGATCGCAAATTCTTTCTTTTTCCCGCCGGTAGTTTACGTTGTTAATTCGCTTCTCATACTTTATTTAAAGTAGGTTACATCATTAGCAGTATGAGTTGTCATAATTCATAAAGAAAAAATAACTCAAAATGAAACACAGACGAAGACTACGTGTAACTTAAATAAATTGTTTTCATTGTCTTCCTTTTTTTTTTTTCTTTTTAGGAAAAAGTTCAACAGGAAGACGGTATTACCGCTTTGTGCCTGGTGGAATCCCATATACGTTTAGATTATAATACTGGCGAGTGGAAAACATTCCAAAATTATAGACGTCTCGATCAGAGTACGCAAAGCTCCACAGAAAATGCTAGCAGTAGTAATAACGTTATGCAGTCGCAAAATTCAGTCGTAATTTAATGAAAACGACAACCTATACAAACAAAGAAAGATGCATAAGCGATTGACGCTCTATTAAGAAAAAGAAGAGGAAAATAAATTGAAAACATGGAATTGTCATAGGGAAAAAGCTTAAAAAAGCGCTTAGCACTTACTCGGACATTTACATCAGTTCTTCAAGTTTCAACAAGAAAGTATCAATTGTATATTTATATTTATATATATATACATATATGAGTATGTAATGTCATATGTAATGAATCATCATCATCATCATCATTATCATCGCCATCACCATTTACATATTATAACGGTAAGTTATATCCGATTCATATGCATGTACATGTACGCATAACAATGCTATTTGCAAGGCTTTAATAATTATTGTGTTCTTTGCATTCATTTTGCTTTATAAGTTCAGTAAAATGAATAGCGCGTTGAAAGATTTACTTAGGAAGAATTTAAAATTTGCTTTAAAAAATATTGATAAGCATTAGTTTTGCAGATTGCTGACTAATTTTAAAATAAGATATCTTTCTTTTCTTTTTATCAATATTTTTATTCTTCTTGAAAGTTTATCTTGACCCTTAGACATTAAACTTGTATGAAGGCACAATAGTTCTCATTTTTTCAGATGAGACAATTATGAAAAAAAATTAAAGCCCATTGATCGAAACATATTTTGTTGTGCAAAAAGAATTTGTAGTTAATTTTAATGCTTAGATATCATGTAAATGAAAAAGTCTTTACCTTATGCGTATATATGCCTATATATATATATATATGCATATATATATATGCATATATATTTTCTAGATACGTATTATTTAAAGTAACATTTATAAGTGAACGCAGATAACGAAGCAAAATCATGTTTTTCTACCTTTTTTTTCCTGACTATTATTATTATCATTTTTTTTATTTTTCACGTCACTACATTAATTTTTTTACTGTTAAACGAAATAATCAAAATTGTGTTAAAACTTTTAAATCATGTTACAAAAATGTTATACGGTTATAATAAAATTAAATCCAATCACCTTAAAATTAATTTTTGCAAATTTTCAAATTATTGATAAACTTTATATTTATATTAAATTTAAGTTAAAACATTTTAATATTTTTCAATCTTCAAATTATTGTCTACATTCGTTTTACATTTGAAAATCATTTCTCATATAAACAATTAATTAAGTTTAACTAAAAACAAAAATATTTAGTAGAAGGAAGAATAAATTTAAAAAAAAAAGTTATAAAAAACAAATAATTTCCAAAATAAGAGTAAAACACCCGCGTGTGTATTACATTGTTGATAATGCTAATATAATAAAATGATAATGAAACTATTATATATAAATATAAACATAAATTACATATATAAATATATATGTATATGTAGTTACGCGTACCGGTACCGATATGATAATAAAATTAATAATAATTACTTGGCTTACATGTTAAAAATGAATTCATTCATTTCAAAATTTTACTGTGAATTGTAATGAGTCACGAATAACATGACGCGTTTTTTTTTTAGTAAGGTTTTTTAATTCTGTAATTACGAAAGAAGATAAGTTTGCATCAGTTTACCGCAGCTCGGTTTTTAACTGCTAAAACTACATGCATATGTAACCAACGCCAAGGCATGGAACGAGATGAGGGATACGACAGATCGGATGCGGATGCAGAGAACAAATGAAACAAAACAAGTAAGTACTTTGTTTAAATTTTATTTTCTACCTTCAAATATTTTTACTATTATGGATACTTTTGCTCACATATATAAACACATATAATTTTTTTTTAAAGCCACGAAGCTTCAGACAAATGAAGATATCCAAGTGTTTGTCATATAATACACAAAGAACATTAAGGTAGATACCGACTCATTGCAAATTTCACTCGGATTTCATTTTTAGCGATTACAAGCTACGCAGTAGCATTTAACTCTTATTGAAGTACTTCTTTTTTATAGAACACTTTCTCCGACGGAGAGTATTCGTGAATCCGCTTATAATGAGCAGACGACTTTTATCTATTGTGCTGGTAAATGGTTCTGCCATCTCATCTACTTATCTTTGTTTGTTGTATTGTCCTATTTTGGCGTCTCTCTTAATATATTACAGAAAAAAACCAAGTAAAAATATTATAGTGGTCCAAGGCCCACCATTAAATGTCCCAAATAATCTTACAATTCTTCAGTGGTCGAAAAATGGTCCGGACCGAAACGTGTCAGTGTACCAAATTCGATTAAAATATCGTCAAAAATTGTGTTCTGTAAGGTGAACGCAAGAGTTCAAGACGAAAAAGTAGACGAAACATGAATTTGCTTTTTAAAATATGTACATACAAAAGTAGAAAGTTGAATAACATTTGTGCAAAGATATGCTACGCCATCCACCATACACATATTTTATAAAATAAAAAAAAAAAAAATGCAACAGCAAACTAATGTTTAATAAAAAAGAAATTGACACATAACAATAATAACCGAGTGAAAAGTAACTTACATGTCGGGACTTTGGTAAGTCATTTTTCATTCCGTTAATTTATTTACCAGCAAAATTAAGAGTGCCTTAATATAAAGTCGATCAAACTATCCCTACTCGTTATTGACCATTTCGATAAACAAACATATCTCAGGGTCAAACCAACAAATACTTGATACTATTAATACTATATTTGAGGACATATTTTACTAACTGTTGTTTGCGTGCGAAATTAAACAACGTTATTAAATAAGATTTCACAATTTCTTTTCAAAAACTAATACATTTCATACGATAATCAGGGTCTCCTTTAAAATAAAAAAGCAAGACAAGGTTTTCATTTTAATCAATTTTTTTATTACAATTTTATTATGTGCTCACTGTAAACGTCTTCAGGACGACGTTTGTCGTCCGCTATTTTCTTTTTATAACCGGCAGAAACTACGAGCGCATCACAGTGTATTTGTTCCCTGTTTTTTGACTGATTTAATTTATTATAACGTCTGTCTTCGTTTGCTTTTCCATGAAGAAGATGGCTATGGATATAAAAATTTTTTCTCATTAGAATATTTTTTGGACATAATAAATAAGTAAATAAATAAACATATAAAGTTTTGATTTTGCTGGACATGAAATGCTCTGTTCTGCTTCTATCATTTTTCTTAACAGCCCTGTTCTTTCTTGTTTCTTTACTATTCATTCCTATACAATAAAAATTTGGTTTGTGTACTTCACCGAATTATAACTTATTCTTGTACAAATAGAAGCGTGCGTGTCGGGAATTAAAAAAAAAATTGGAGGTATAAGATTTAAAAAAAAAAAAACCTAAAGACTAGAGTTAGTTGTATTTCAGTGCAATTATGTAAGTTGAAATTATTTTAGAAAGCGATTTTGGGGCTGAAAAATTGTCATCTAAAGAATCGTACGGTAATTTTTTTCCTATAAGAAAAATTTGTTAATAAGAGTGTGCGTTTCGGGAATTTCATAAAAACAAAAGTGTTGGCCGTGTAATCGAAAAAGTGCGAAATAGTTCAATAGTTATGAAAATATCGTTGAAATTATTTAAGAAAGCAATTTTGGTGCTAATAAAGTTTCGTTTAAAAAAGTGTCGTCTAATTGTTTACAAAAGGAAGAAAATTAATTTTTAATAATTACGATTAGAAATAGAATCAAAAAACAATCGTGGTAACGTTACGTTTTGTGCGAGAAAAAGAGTGATCTTACTTTTTACAAAAACAATGCAATAAATGAATTTTATCATCTTAAGAAATTTGAAAATTTCGTTATTGATAATATCAAGAAGATAACAAATTTAAGCGCGACACTACGGAAATAAGGTAAGTTTAATGCGTACAGCCAACTAGTGTACAAATGTACTTTATACCCTTTCCATATATTGCAGAAGACCAAAATGATTCACATGTTCGTAGTTTTCAGTTAAATGTAAAAATCACAAAACCTGCGCATTTCTGGAGATTTATTTAGGCTTTTTTCATAGACTCCGGCGCTTTATTTTCCATTTTATTTGGCCTAAGCAAACCTTAATAATTTAAACGAAGATTGAGCTAAACTAAATTTTCTATTTCTAAATTAAAAATTCTATTACTTTAACAGACGGCTTGATGAAATTTCTCGTTTAACAGATTCCGTTAGGAAATTGCTCATTTAACAGATTGCGCAGGGGAATTTCTACCACTTTAACAGATTGCTTGAGGAAATTTATTGAAAGAAACTCTGTGCCTTGTAATTAATTTTAGATTTTGGATTACGATTCTTCCTAAAAGTAGTCTTTAATATTTTTTACTCTACATATAAATACGTATATGGCGTGGCAAAGTCATTATGTAAAGTCATAATGAAAATTTGCTATAGACTTTAAAAAAATTTCTTCGTTGGAAAGCAAAATGTGGAACTTATTCTCCCATTAAGAACGTAAAAACCATAAACTAAGAGGCTGCATATGGACTTTTTTAAGCTTTATAGTTTTATAGTTGGAGAAATAAATAAATGAATGAAAAATAAAAGAAGCGAAAGCGAAAATTATTATGTTCAATATCTACATTACCCGATTCCTATCCATGATCATTATTGCAGATCAACACTGAGGACAACTCGGTAAGGCTCGGTATCATTTGTTCTGCTTGTTTGCAAATTGTGTTCTGATAACTCTATGGTATGTTGCTTGATCATTTAAGCTTTTTTTTAAGCTATTCACTATAGGTTTTAAGCTTCGTGATGCCACCGCAGGTTGTATAGTAACACAAATAAGAACATTACACTTGGCTAAGGCCAATCATCAAATACCCTACACCCGATCTTACGGTTTATTTTTTGTTTTTTTTCATACCATACAATTTTGTTTTTTTTTTTATATTGGCAAATGTAAAGAAATTTACCAAATATTGGTCGACTGACCCAAAAATTGTTTACTTATTGCCAATAAATCTATTACTTATTAACTGTTTAGTCAAAATGTCAAAAATTAAGTTTCTTTTTTTTTTTGTCAAATGCTGATGAAGAGATAGGAAAAATCATTTTTTATACCTTGAAAGATTTAGAGTAACATCTAGAGTAAGATCTAGAGTAACAAGCTTCGAATGTACCATTCGATTCAGAATCAGTTTTCGGATCGATCTAAGCTTGCCTGTCCGGCTGTCTGTTTTGTTTGTTTGTTTTCAACCTGCAGATATTTTGACGAAAATTGGTATATTGTTTTGGCCCAAAGAAGAATGCTAATGAAAATGGTTCGAATCGCAGTGCTGTTTCGACCACTTCTCTGACGGGAGGTGTTGAGTATTTAATGGCGGGATATGGATACTACAGTTTTTTTTTTTTTGGTTTTTTTTTTAAACTGTGCTGAGAGGTTTTTTCTCCCTTATATTAACTTCACAGGAAAGGTGGAGAAAAACATAAAATGCAAAACTTTGGTTTATAGGCATATGACTTACACGGATAGAAGCGAATTCCTTCGAATCTTACGGATTATGTCGGCCAATGACTTTAGGATTTTCGAAGTAGCGCCTATACTTCCTTGATGAGGCTTAAAAAAACAAAAATTGATTATGTAGATGAACGCGTGAAAAAAACAACGAAATTCATAGTCTATTAAAATGACGGGAAAAAAGTCCTTTTAGTCGCATGCGAAATAAAATATTTTTACCACTTCCCTAAAATAAGTAATTTTTTCGATAACCAAATTTTTCTTGCTTGCCTGGACTGCGTCTTTCCGATCTTGTTACCAATTGTTTGTTAATTAATTTGTAAATAATAATTTTTGCATTTTTTTATTCGAGTTAAATAATATATATATTTTACAATTTTATCTTAGATATACAACTACACTAAATGAAATGAAATATTTGAAATTAGTGAATGCATTACTTTCTCGTAACACAATATCATCGTTTATTGGTCTATATGTTGCAGTGTGTAGTATGCAGAATGTACTGCAATACGTTCATACATAAAATGTCCTCAGAATGGAAAGGAAAATTGATTTAGGAATAAACACAATATGCCTGTCAAGTGTATTATTTCTCAGTGAAATGAATGTGAGTGCAGGTACCTTTTTTTCAAGTAAACACACAAAGTGTTGCAATAGAAATTATTAATTAATGCTTATATAATACTGTTTAGGGAATGTATCCTAATTCTAATGTTTAAGCATTAACCTCCTTCCAATGAACGATAGCACGTTGAAAATCGGGTGCCTTCGCGAACGGTCTAGTTCCGTCCGTATGAACGTATTCATTAACTTGATAATCCAAATAGGTTTTATAATGATAAACATCATTGCCTAATTGCTGTAAATTGAAAAATTGAATAATGAAAAGATTGAAAGAAATATTTTATTTCAATTTAGCGATGCTTACCTGAGTTAAAGGACTAGTGTTTGTGGTTAGAATACCGGTGAAATTTTTTGCTTTGGCCACATTTAAAACCTCATGCTCCATGAAGTGCATACAAGCTATATTTTCTTGAGGATTTAAATCCTCATGGGTGCCCATCATAAAGGAATGCAGTATTTTATTGAGTCCTTTTGGTAAGTAAGTGTCTCTATAAAATAGGAGTTAAGTGCAAATAACGTATACTATTGAAATTGTGCTGTACTCTCTACCTTATGGGTCCTTCAACATATTCGAGGAAATCAAAGACAATTATCAATTTACTCTTCACTTCTACGTCAGGTTCGTTACGAGCATCAAAATTTAAAGCAGTTGCAATAATGCGTTTAGTATTTTTATCTCTCACCACAAAGCTAAGATCCTTCTCCACCAAATCGTTCCAAATATCCTACGGAAAATAATAAATTTTTTTTTTTTATTTAGGGAATTTTTCACATTTTCAAACAAGCAAGGAGGCTCACACTTATAAGATCACTGTAATCGCTAGGGAGTATATCAGGTTTTAGCCATTGCTCCAAATCAGCCTTACCGTAAAAACTATCAACAATAATTCTAAATAGAGAAGAGACGCATTAACACACAAACGATTTACATTCCCAAAAATTATTTATGAAGATACACTTACTGTATCACCTCATTTTTATGATTATGTTGTAAAGGTATCGCCTCCATATCCAAATGCGGGCAACTGTTAATCCAAAGTTCATTGTCATCTTCTACCATACTTGTTTCGCAATCCTTGGTCATAGTATGTAGAATTTCGCCTAAATCTTTAGCGGTTATGAATTGCGATATGCCAATGTTGTAGCCTTTCTCTCTTAATAATGTTACGGTATATATCGAATTAAGCGAATTTCCGCCCAACTCGTAAAAATTACTATTCGCCGATAGCGTGGTGCGCGTCGAACGTCCTATAACATTGCCTACAGTTTCAAATAAATCTTCAGCTGCTTCCCTTAACTCATCGGGTACCTGCGAATAATCGTAATCTAAAACGATACTCGAATCTCCATCATTATTATTCGCCGTTTCGTATAATTTCAATAACGCTTGACGATCCACTTTGCCGTTGACCAAAAGAGGCACATGATCGATTAGAACGACTTGTGGCATCATGTAATCCGCCAATTGATTTTTTAATTTGCTTTCTAATTGCAACTCATTAATCAAGGGCGAATCATCTCTTAACTTAACAAAAACTAATAAGGCCTGATCAACTTGTCCGGCATGATAGCAAAGCACTATTGCTTTCTCCACTTGAGGCAATTCGATAACAATTTTCTCCACTTCTGAAAGATCAACACGATGCCCTCTAATCTTAATTTGAGAATCGGTACGACCCTCGTACATTATATGACCATTAAATAAAGAACCGTAATCTCCGGTGCGGTAAAGTCGAGAATATTCTAAAATTAAATATAATTTTATATATATATTAATTTGACGAAAGCTTTTGCTTAAATCAAATATTTATGCGAACAAGGACTTACTTAATTCAACTGCTAAAGGATTCTCTAAAAATTTTTCCGGATCCCTGCCGTTAACGTAGCCTCTGGCCAGATTTGAGCCTGATACAAATATCTCACCGATCTCACCGGTCTTTACCGGTCTATAATCGCTGTCTAATAGATATATCACAGTATTTATGACTGGTACACCTGTGAAAGTATTTACGTATACTTTGGGTATTTATTTGGCGATTGTAATTTTTTAGAGCTTACCTATCGGTACACGATCGTAATGACTCAGTTGTTTTTTATTTTCACATGCGAAATACGTTACGTCGCCCATTACTTCAGTCGAACCGTAGAAATTGTACAGTGCATGTGCACCCTCTTCGAAATAATCAAAGAAATTCATCGCTAAACTAAGCGGCAACGGTTCCCCAGAACATACCCACATTTGAAGGTTGCCTAACAACTTTTGTCCCTTTTGCGCTAGACCGCAGGTATTGCCGTCCAAACTGAGATACATCAGTAATGAACGCAATAGTGTTGGTACTAAAACCAAGCGTCTGATTTTGTACTCCTCCAACAATTGGACTAGACGTTCTGGATCTTTAGTTATCAGTTTAGGTACCACCAGCACGGCTAGACCTGAAAGTGATTAAAAAATATATGCTTTTTTTAATATTTAAAAATTAATGGAGTTTGGTTGACAACGAACAAGCAACAACTCTTTCGATAAAAGTTTGGCCGAACAAGGAAAATTCTTTTTTGAATTCCGTCATAAGGAATTTTTCTGACTTTTTACAAAGCTTAGTATCTCTTCCCCCCCCCATCAACGATGGGCACGATAATACTGGCATAAGTGAAATTATGGTAATCGTGCGATTTTTGGCGCATAAGTACAGTTGCACTTATTTCGGTTCCTTTGTTTCATAAGCGAAAGGCTAACCGCCATTATTTTAAATGTAATTGATTATCTTATAAGATTAGTCTAGTCCAGGTTGGCAAGCTTTGAGTATATTGTAGTGAACTAAGCAAACGAGAAAAAGCTAAGAAAATTATATTTGGCTGTGAACGGATAGTTTATGCCCTCCATCTCTATTTTAAAAATAAATCAAAAAAACCCAAATTTCGATATTCTGTAATGAGCGAGCCCGATTTTTGTAGAGCTATCATGGAACTGTCTATGAAAAGTTTGACATAATTACTACTTTTGTATCTATTCTCGTATATAAGTGAAAAGAGAAGTGAGCTCAGCTTATGTTGCTCTCCGAGTATTTCGTTTCCGACCGATGAAGTGGTCCATTGACAATTTCAATTCAACCGACCTGTAAGAATTTCTAGTATTTTAGTTAAATTTGAAGTCGCGATACATTAATTTTTATGCGCAGAAGATAGTTTACCGGGGCCCGGTGGGCAGACAAAGATGCCTAGATCGATTCAGAATCGGGCCTTGATGGAGAATATGTAAAATTAAAGGAGCTTAAAAAATGTCTTGTGTGCCTGTTCCGAACAAAATGACAGAACGAACGCACTTCAAAGCCCCGTTTGCTGGGCAGTGCAAGGAAGGTATGCAGGTAACGTATATGACTACATCTGCATTTTCTACTTGTGAAATTGACAAACATTAAATACGTGGTAACTAAATTGATGTGGTTTTGTATCGTATGTGCGTGCCGTTTGTTAACTTAATTAAGTGCTCGCTCTAATTGTTGAATAAAAGCCAAAGCGCACCTTTGAATGCCAAAAATTACACGACACCGTAAATAAATATTCAAATGATGTCAAATAATTGTCACTAATGACATGATGTCTTTTAAAATGAATTAAAAAAAATAAATAAAAAATAAAAAAAAAATCGGTTCGCATTCATTTTTATTAACTTACCGCACAACAGTGGACCCCACAACTCTGCTACTGAATCAACGAACGTTAGAGTTGTTTTAAAAACGGTTACTGTCTCTTGCGGTTTGTACGGGAATGTATTCCATTGCCATTGCAAACGATTTAATATAACTTCATGGGGTAAACGTACGCCTTTCGGTACGCCAGTGCTGCCTGATGTATACAAAACGACAGCTAAATGTTTACTTCCCTCGGCTAACATATCATCCGCGATTAAATTCTCTTCGAACTGTTGCGCATTGTCAGTAATTTCAGTTATACTATATGTTAATGTTTTTCCAAAACGTTGCTTATCGATGTTATCATCACACACGACCATAATCGGTTTCGATTCCTGAAGTATATGTTCAACGCGATTAGCAGGAAAACTAGGGTCAATAGGCAGATAAGCGGCACCTGTCTTCCAAATCGCCAGTAATGTCGTAACTAAACGATCGGAGGGCTGCATACAAATTCCTATAATAAAATCTCCATCTTTGTTGGGTTGTACGAAATGTTGTTTTGATTCCTTCACTAAGAATCGAGCCCACTTATTGGCCGCCGTGTTCATTTGTCTGTACGTGATTTGTTGATAATTTTGCGCAGTCTTAAATGACGAATCATTGCCATGTTCGTTGTTCTCTCTGTTGCCATTATTGTGTATTAACGCTATCTGATGGGAATGATGTTTAAGATTTTCTTCAAAAATTCTATACAAAGGTTTTATATTGTTATCTTGCTGTTGACCTTTGACAATGGATAACTTTACCATGGAACCCATGATCTAAAAAGAAGAAAAAAAAAAAAAAGATTTATATTAAATATGAAAGAATAAAGCGACTCTTGTCCGCATTCTCTCTCAATTTGGCGCCAAAGTTCATTTCAGTTCATTTTAATGGATTTGTTTGTTCTTCCTATTGTCTGCTATGACGTTAGAACGCTTGTCCCGGAAATCTTGTCAAATCTTGACATCTACATATGTTGTTAATGACTACATGTCGACCTTGAATTTGGCCAAACTGGCTTCATTAGCAAAAGCCTATCATTTACTCTGTATAATAGATAATGATTTTAAACTTTCTACACACGTTTATCGTACTCATCTAAGACTTTAGTGAAAAAATGGGCGTGATTCGCAAAAATACCTTGAATGAATATAAAAAATATCATACAAAGCCCGTGAGACTTTTGCTTGATTTGAAAAACGCATGCAAATCCATTAAGTCGCCTAAAATACCAACGAAAGAATTACTCTGTTCGACGTACTGGTGCCCTCTCGGATTTATTAAAGTATTTTGCAATTATTACGCAAGTAAATTGATGTGTGTCCTAAGGTGAACATAAACTTTTCCTATGATTTTTTTTTTTTTTTTAATTTCAGGGACTCCTTTAGGAGAGAGTAACTAACTCCTTCACAGAAGATGCGCAAGTAGTAGTGTCTCTTGTAACAGTAAAGATTTGAGTTTAGCAAAAAAAAAAAAATAATAAAAATTATATATATATATATATATATATTTACTTCCTTTTTATTATAATCTCAACAGGTTTTCTTTTCTTCTTTTTTTTTGCTTTTCAACTATTAAGAGAACATTATATTATATATGCAATAAGCTTTCTTGAAGCTGTCAAAATTTTGAAAGCCTTCTGTCAGCACATGTCATGCACGTTCAATCAAATCAAACGCGTGAAGATTTACATATTCTTGGTAATATATTTATTTTATTAATCATATTGTAACGTTCAGTTGTATGAGTTGACGAAGGCAAGCACATATTTATTGGCTTCGTACGAATGATCGGGTGTGCAAACTGCTCGGCTGTCCGGTTGTTTAAGTCGACTATAGTTCACGCGGACAAGACGACAATTGAAAAAACTATTACACGCCTGGCCTTTGAATTGTGACGAAGAAATTCGAAAAGAATTTTGATGACGATAGGTGTTTCAAATGACCGATGACTATCATTTTTACTCTTAAAAATCAGAAGGTCCTAATAGGTGATTTGACCAACAATTTCCGCTAAGATATGTGAGTTAGATTTTCTTCCTTACCATAATCATGGCTCAGGCAAATGACGTCTAACTACAAACTCAATTATGCTCTAAGAATATAGCTCGGTTCTGCCATAAAAACTCGTTATACCCGCTTCACATTTTATACTAATTAAGATTTTTTATACATGACAGGTCGACCACTGGTGGGTGAGTCAAAGTCTTGCAAACAGTATAAAACATATTCTAGCATAATCCAGTTCTTCGCTAGGAGGTGTAAAAAAAAAGACTACATCTTATGAAATGAAGTTAATACTGAAGGCGGGTAGACAGTATTTCTCGCGAGAAAATTTTTTTAATAAAAAAAATTACTTCAGGGGACGTTGGAAAGGGATATTTTTACTTCAATCAAGGTGAAAATGTATTTATTTATTATTTAGTGTAAATACTAAATAAGCTAACAGTGTTATATATTCATGATTAGTATTGAAGTGGCCTTCGAATGTCTGACCGCCCTTGTAAATATGTGTGTGATAAACAAAAAGTAAGATACAAGCGTTAAATTTGGCGAAAACATTGCACGTTATTGCAGGGAAAATGGGGCGGATCGGTCAAAATAAACGTCTGCAGTCCAGCATAAGCTTAATAAGAAAATTAGGTTAAGTGCCGAATACTCATAAACGAAAGTACGACTATTCTGTAGGGTGCAGAATCAGGAACTAAATCTATCAATATTACGGAGTAGCAAAATTTAGACAGATGTGGACTTGGCTACGTAACGCGCGTCATATTCTTCTCTTAGCGGATATAATTTTGTAATTCTTTATAGGGATTTTTGAAAGTCTTCAAGAATCGCCTGATTAAGCTGCAGAGTATAATTTTTGTTGTTGTCTCTTGAAATCATTTTCATTAATTAGAGCGTGTGTGTATAATTTTAATTGCTATTTTTTGTCTAACGTTTAGCTAATATATACAAATTATTTAATAACAGTTCGGTAATGAAAATTTTTCTGATCTGTTGTCATACACCGACTAAACTAGTCGAACGAAATTTTAAGCAATTTGTTACACTTCATAATTAGTGGCATAGAATCGACATCTCTTCTCTCTCTCTCTCTCTCTCTCGCTGTCGATATTTGGGCGCTTAGTTTAATATTAATTTAATGTTGTTGCTGTACTGGTTGTTGTTGTTGTTGATTTTGTAAATATTGATGTCGGTGTCGATGTCGTATTAGTGTTTCAGAAAAAAAAAAAAAAAACAAATAAAAAATCAAAAAATATTAAAATCAATTAGCTCCAAAGGGGCTGAGTTTATTTATGTGCGTGGTTACAAAACCTGAATGGACGGCTTAATATGAGAAATTTATTGTGAAGTAATAATAATATGATTGAGATTGAAATTTTTAATTTTGTTATTAATCAAAAGTTTATGTAACATTTTTGATTTAATTATTATTATCAAAAGACAAACAACACGCATTTTATTAATATCAGGTCTGAGTGCATCTAGACGGTTATTAGACAATATTTACTGCAAATAATTTTCATATCTTTTTTATTGGCTAGATTGCATACATCGCAGGTGCGAATAATTCGTTTTGCATCAAAAGAACGATCGATCTGTCATACTATTAATGAAATTTATTAGCCGTAAAGAACTTTTTTGTACATTATTTATGCAAATCGTGATAAAATGGATTGCATTCTGATAACACCCAATATCTTAGACTTGATTTGCAAAGTCGAGTACATATATAAGTATAAGTAGGATAATATTGCGCTACGAGATTTTTGCATTGGCCAGCAAATGCGGTCTCTTGCAAAAAGGCAATTAATGCAGATAAACGAAAAGTTATTACGTAATATTACCTACCCGATCCAATCTATTCAATTCTTACTTTGTTTCGATATTCTTTTGTAGGGCGTAGTAAGTTTTTTAAAGAATTTCTATATTCTATGATAATTTAATGTCAAAATTTTACCTATACATTTGCCTTATCTTGAAACTCTTCCCATGCAGCCGCTAAACCCCCCCCCCTGTTATAGTCAGATGTGCTCTTTTTGGTCGATATAACCAAGTTTGTCCGCCCTCTCTTCTACTGTTTGCTTATGCTCGCAAAGATTGATGTATTTCTTGCAGATACTGATGTGAAACATTGTAGAAACATTTGCCAAGAAAGTTCCGTATGAGAATGCCTGCTCACGTTCTCCCCTCAGTTAAAGAAATATTTTGCAATTTTTAATCTCGTCTTCTGAGTATTAATTTGCTTTGCCTGTCTTGCTGGAGTGCCAGTAAGCGATATACTTCTGTCAAGCTTGCGATCGTAAAAAGTTTGAACTACATCCGTCTGGTTTTCTGTTAAGTTTATTTTTTAATTGCTTGAAATCTCCCACCTGCAAATCATATATTGAGGCACACTGGAAATCATATGTTAAGGCCGTGTACACACACACAGTAAGTATGGAAGCTTCGTCTTAACATGGATGTCAATTTTTTTTGTAGGTATGGATATGTTCTGCCCATTTGTAATCGTAGGCCAAGTCGTGTAATACGTATCATGTCCTGCGTTGCTATACATTTCAATAAACTCCTTGAATTTCACAATATTTTCAAGCCATCATGAGCTAGTCTACCCTCTTTCCTATTAAACTACTTTTTACGATGCTCATTTCGATCGGTAAATTGAAGCCTCTCTAAATTCAGGCGATTCTTAAAAGCCCTAGGTAATTCCATAGTTTTCTAAAAATTAAAATTCGACATTTTATCCAAATAAACTTTTATTCGTTTTGTTTTTCTGGCTATAGTAAGCTATTTTACGATATTTTGATCGATTCCATTTTATTCTTCATTCTTCTATGGTATTCAATAGAATTTTTTCTAATTCTTTACCATTGTATATCACTCTTTGCTGCTTTCTGCTATTCTTTACTATTTCATGCTATTGTGAGCCATTCTTCTACTCGATACTAGTTTTTGCCAATTGAAGGTATTTCGACTTTTTGTCATTCTTTACTATTCTGCCTTATTTTTTATCAGTTTATTATAATCCCTGCTATTTCCAGCCATTATGCTATTTTGTGCTACTTTGTATTACTTCTATGTACTTTTTTCTATGTAAAGCTGCTCGAATATTTTGCACCGCTTTTTGCTATTTAATGCTCTTCCGTTCATTTATTATAGTCTTTGCTATATTGTGATATTGTTGCTATTTTATGCTATCTTTTATTATTTCATGCTAGTATGCTTTTTGGCACTACTTTTGCTATTTCATGCTATTCTCTTTTTTGTCACTCTACTATTCTGCGATGTACTCTGTCAATTTATTATACTCTTTGCAATTTTTCCTACTATTAGGCTATTTTATACTACCTTTTATTATTTCATGCTATTATGCCTCTTATGTTAGTCTTTGCCAATCTGCTTATTTGCTATTTCATGCTATACCGTTTTTTGTCACCTTGCTGTTGATATATTCGATCAATTTATGATATTTTTTGCAATTTACTGCCATTGTGCTATTTTATGCTGCCTTTTTATTATTTCAGAGTTTTTATGCTGGGCTTTGCTAAGTAATACTTACTACTCTACTTTTTAATATTTAATTTCAGTCTTTACTTTTTCTTGCTATAATTTGCTATTTCATGCTACACTACTATTCTTTATTCTATGCTAGCCCATACATATCATTTCTTCCATTCTTTCCCTCCTATAATTGACGATTAAGTAATCAATAAACATAAACGTTATTTGAATTTAATTGCAAAGTATTTATAAGTCACTGGGTAGGAATAAAC